TTCTTCATCCTGCTTTCAATGTAAAATTCATAAGCTCAACTATAGTTCAAGGGGGGGGGGGGGGTGGGAACGTCCTTGATATACGATCTCCTCGTAAAAAACTTTTTGGTATCCGTATCCTTTTACCAGGAATAGAAAAAGGAATGTTCTGTACATGAATGTAGAGCATTAAGATTGGTAGTTTTGTTGTTCATGCAAACTTTTATTAGCAAATTTTTCTGCCTTTTTGAATTCCAACAAAAGCGGCTTTTGTATTCAAGGTATTCGTTGTTATAGCAACGTCAATTATTGTGAAGTCACACGTTTTTATCATATTATTGCAAGTCCTAAAGCAACATGTGGTTATTTTTTTCTGAAGTAGGGGGCAGACGGCTGGGAATTGCTTAAATACCTTTCTTCTTGCTGTTCAAAATTCAAATTCATTGCTCTGGAGTTCAAGTTTGTTAACAAATTTGCTTTGGTACTCACAACTGTTTATTTTTCACATAAACATATTTTGTAAACAAGTAAAACTGTTATTCCCCAATTAATCTTCTGCTTAAATTCTTATCTGTGATTATATCTCCCATGAGTGAATAAATACCTTCAGTCTCTTCCCCCTTTTTTCCCTCTCCTTTAGAAATCCTTATTAGAAAGAATCTTTCCAAAGTAGCACTTATCTTGACATCTGGTGATAACTAGTGACAGTCTCAGCACTCTTTAGAATTATGAAGGTATTAGGAGCCAGTTCTTCTTATTCAGGTAGTCACACGTATTGTGAGCTAATTCGGCTTATCTGCGAATTTTTTTATTAAATATAAACGTAATTTTATACTGTTGTGTTAGGTTTGCTGATTCTTCTTTGAGCTGAATTTTTTGTCTTGTTTTAGAGTAAGTATCCTTTTGCCGCCTGTGTTCTTTACTCATATCAATTATACTTCTTTAGAAGGCAGGTGGTCAATGATCCGGCATTACTCTTTTATCTTTTCTGTAATAAAAACGTGAATTACCTTAAAATATGTCACTCCTTTGTTTTTCCTTCGTTGGCATTTTGAGATAAGATGATGTCATCTACTCATATCAATCCGATTATCACAAAAAAGTAACAAGAGAAACCACTGTTTATCAGAATTGCGAATAACGCCCGTGCAAACGCAGACATTCTTAGAATAGTAACATTTACGCCCAATTGTTCATTGTTTCTTTTCTAAGAAACATGGAAGGTAGGGAATTGCGTGACGAAGCTTAAAGCTTGTAAGCATTAGGCGTTGTACTATATAATTTGCTAAAGTGCTGAACATTCGACGGTGTTACAGCTCGTGATTTTTCAGACTGCAAAGGTTTTTTCAAAAATTGGATGCTCTAGAAAATTTGGAGCTTAAGAATATTTATGAAGTAAAAAAACGCACAAAATTTTATTGAAGTTTCAACTCTACGCATTATTCCCCTGAGCTCTTCGGAAAGATTTCTGAGTTGGCAGCTGAAAAATGGCGTACTGTCATTATTCATTGGGTTTTTTTCAACAATTGTATAATTATTGACATACGCGTTATTTTATAATTTTTCTTGACGATGGTCACTCATTTTTCATCATTCTTTGATTACTACTACTCAAAATCATTTTTTTGTTCTTTCTTCACCGCTTTAGGGCCAACTCCGCCCAGCGCGTACTCTCGTGTTCCGCACATTCTCTCTATTTGTATGATCATGTTGCGGGAGTTCGCACTAAATAAAAATGCGAAAAGTTATACTTGATAGTTTTGTTTTGCAAGAAAAGCCAGTTTTGAAGTTCCAGCTACATAAAAAAATGACTATTGATAACTTGGTATTTTTAAAAACTGCAGCATTGAGGAACAGAGGGTTGTCTCCCCAAAACAATATCCGGGATGGGTCATTGTTGTTCACGTCCCACTGAGGCCTACAATAGCCCCCCTCCTTCCCTTCCCTCCCTCCCCACCCCCCCCCCCTCGTTGACCGTGGTACCCACAACAGCGCACCGCACTTACAAGGGAAGGAAGGTTGGTCGAAGTGGCCTTTTGAGATGAGATGCACATTGTTTTGTAGATCTTGGGGCGCTGATTCCAAATCTGCCTTCGGTATCTGCTGCGGGCTTCTGGGCGAGGAGTTGTGGAGGTTTTTGTGAGTTAAAATCTGAATGTAAGAGCGGGGTAAAATCAGTCGTAACCTTCTCCCAGCGTTCAAATGAGGCGGCAGCGAGTTCATATATTTGAATCAAGATTATTTGTTGCACCGAGTGACCCGAACATCAATCAAACCCTATAAAAAATCTTACGGCTGATTTTAGCCTACTCTTGCATTCAGACTTTTCTCACAAAAACCTTCAAAACTCCCGCCCAGAAGCCCGCAGCAGATACTGAAGGCAGATTTGAAGTCAGCGTTCCAAGCTCTACAAGGCAGTATACATCTCCTTTTAAAAGACTACTTCGACCAACCTTCCTTTCCTTGTTAGTCAGCATGTTATTATTTTTGCACTGCGACCAAATGTATTCGAACAACTCCCCAGATTCATGCGCCACAACAAGACCTCGTCACAGGATTTTTTGGGGGTGCTCAAACACAAGTCAACAATGTTTCGTTGTGTATTTGCACTATGGAAAAAGCTTGTCGGGTTCAAGTCCCGGCGCGACGCGCATCGGAATAATCGCATCTCGTAGTGGAGCCGGATCTCCACGGGTTTTTATCACGGGTTTCACCACTCTACGGGTCCACTCAAACTCTAGCCTAAATTTCGCGCTTGAACACGGAACTCTAAAGTGTTTGCGCTGTGACAGCCAATGTCCATTCGCCACTTCGCGCAGTTTTACTCGAAAGGTCGAGTGTTTATGAGTTTGGTAGCGCATACCCTTACCGCTGTACCGGTAATGTTTACCCTCTCTATTCGGTTTTTCTAACCTATCAGCAGCAGAGCAAATAAATCTAAAAACATGCATTGAATAGTCAAAACGACTGCAGAGTTGCGTGTATGATTATGCAGCGATAGGCAGAGCTGACGAGAACTGGTCCCCAACAAGATATTTCCCCTCGAGCAATGGGTACGTAATGCAACTTTATGCCGGAAAATATTATAACTTTCAACCAAGTGCTCAATAGATAGATTGTCGATTGTTTTAGATGTGCTTCAAAATTTTGCAGAGAGGACCAGTTTTCGCGAAAACACGCAAAACAAATTGCTTTGCTTTCTGCCATCATAAAATAACCTCTAGTTTTTTTCTAGCAACTTTTTAAAAAACAACACATACCTAAAAATTTCCAATATAAGACGTCAACTTTATCATTTCATAGAGCAATATACAATGTTGACGAAAACTGGTCTCCAACAGATTTGCTTAACGGTAACTTCACATCAAAACGTGTGGCCATTTTTCAAGTGCTTGATAGGGGAATAGTTTGCCACAGATAGGGTTCCAAATTTTCCTAGGGACCAGTTTTCGTTGATAATATATGTTCATGAGTTGTCTTCTGCTATCACAGAATATTATAAGTTAGTTTTTCTTTGGAAAATAGCTCTACATCTACATCTGCAAGATGCTGCAAACAAATCGTGACAGCCTTAGTTTTGAAGTATAATACTGCTCCCCCCCCCCCCCCCCCTCCCCTCCTCCAAAAAATCCTATGTAAGACATTGAACCTCAAGCTATTGTTACGTTGTTGTTGGCTATTTGTTGTTCTTTTGAACGCTCAAGTGGCCATAAAACATCACTTAAACGTTGGCTACAAGGACGATACGATTCAGTCAACTCAATGGTGAGAATTCACATTTACGATGTTTCTGCCACTTTTAGATGTAATCTATCTCCTGTCAAATGGTGTCCTGATTTCCTTTCTTTTTTAATCAAAAATTTGGGCGAAGATGGTAGACCTCAGAAGGGATTTTTATTCAAAGTTCTAAGACAGTGACTGTGTTTAGGACATTTTATTGTATTCCTAGTCATTTTGTAAACGAACCCCATGAATAAGAGAATAGCAGGCAATTCAAAAAACAAAAAAGTACCGCGACAGGCTATTCTGCAAATTTATGTTTTCAGTGTTCAGTTTGCATTTGCGGATTGCAATTGCCTAATTGATGTGACGAGGAGTCAGTGACTGAACAAAAACTAACTATCAAGGATTAGGGTTTCATGTTCAATGAAACATTTCAAAATACACACTTCCGTCAGGAATAGATTTTGTTGGGTTATTTTTCTAAAGGCTTCTAGAGATGAGGATGTTTGTGAAGTCGAATTTTCAAAAACATTTTTTGTGAAGCAGCAAACTGAAAGTGCAATAATCTGGGCGAAATTTTCATTCGTTGTTTCTTTGAAAATTAGCGAGAGGTTTGCGCTTAACGCTTTGTCTTTTTTGGATTTATAAAGGTTGAATTTTGTTCAAATATCGAAGTAGTCCTGGCTCATTTCAGCAGGTGCTTTTACGATGCTAAAATTATACTCAACAACACAACAATGACGCAAACGTTTAAGAACTGTACTTTCTGTAATTCATTTGAGTTTTGTACTCATACTAATCAACCAAGGATGATAAGGATGAGATTACTAATTTGTTTTTTCTTTCTTCATTTACAAAGATTCTGTAGTTCAAATTCTTATTATCTTTTGATGTTATCAAGTTCCCGGGAAGCTCTTCTATTCTTCCTTTTTTATACCAATCCACTGTAATTGCTCTTGAAAATGCTCCAACACTTTTCTGCTTTTTTTGCTGCTAAACATATGTTTCCGCAGCATTTCCGATGTTGTGAAATTGTTTAGAAAAACTGTCTATAACAACGTCCGACGCACCTGCCATGTTGTGCCTCATCTTTGTCGAGTCTCGTACTATTTCGAAGCGATCACACGATCATTTCGTTGTCAATGTCAATGTCACGACCTTGATGACAACAAAAAAGAGAAGTGCTCCCACCCTGATTATTCGCTGCTCGAGCGCATAGACCCCAGTGCAATTGCCTATCGTTCCGCTCTCTAATTCGTGCACTTTACTTTTCATTTTTCAAAAGTTTTTCCTTCAGAATCACGGAGTGTTAAAGCTTATGGCCGAGCAGTTCTTGTCCTGTGACAATATGAAAGTTCATCCAGTGAAAGATTCCAAGAAAGGTGAGCTGTACAGAAATCTCTAGGATTACTTCAAGGTAAGTTAAGGATTCGGGAAATTTAGCTATAGAAGGAACTTTACCAAAAAAGCAAAAAATTCTGGCTTTGTGATAGGAAAGTAATCGAGTTACTTTACCATGATTTATGAACCATCAAAGTTAATCGAGGGAGGGGAAAAGGGGCAAATAAGAGGAGCGGTAGGGGGGGGGAGGGTAGGAAAAAAGAGAAATGATTTACTGCAGATCTGGCGGTGTTCTCCACATGCTTCGAGGAACTCAATCTGAGTCAGTCAACTTTCTATTTTTCGGAAGACTATTTCAGACACCCCTTATCCAATAGAGTGCTAAAAGGCTAGAAAGCGAAAAGGAACAAAATTTGCCACGAAAATCAAATATCCTTCAAAGTTACTGACTAAAAATCAAGTGGATGATTTTTTCAACTCCGTGGAACCCGTCTTTCCCATGATATTCTTTGTTCTTTGAAAATTGTCTGAAACAGCTGCAGCCATAGAAAATGACAGGTGCAAAACAGGGGCACAAGGGTCGGTAACGGTCATGATGTCAGCGAAACGTAAACCTTATATCTCTCCATGTCCTTTATGGTCCTCTTTCTCCTCATCCAAAAGAGCTAGAATTTTTTTTCAATTTTCATGTATGTTTTTTCAGAGCCACCACCGATGATAGTGCTGTCCACAGCAGCTCTAGCCACAGATGATTCTAAATTTCGTTGTCGGCGGGCGAAACCGCCAATGCCAAAATTGTGCTGTTTCATACCCGTCAAAGCAGGTAAGAATTTTCTGGAAAATTCTGGGATGATAACAATCTATAATATTTTAGCTTCCATATTCGGTGTTGCTTTGACGGTTTTGCTGTCAGTTGCTGTCTACGTCTACTGTGTGGTGTATTTGTTAAATATGAAGAACCCGGATGTGGATGTGTCACGAATGATAAGTAGGTTTTTTTCTGCTTATCAACCTATTTTTACCAAGCATTTGAGGGGAAAATTTTTTTTGAAGACGTGCCAGCATGATTTAGCTATTTTTACAAGAAATTACAACTTACATACTTCTTGTCTCTCATCCTGTTAAAAAAAGTGCTCAACACGGCAGCGTACGGCTCATACCAGCTGCAATTCTGGCTAAGAATCTTGGCAATTTTAGTGATCGAAATAGTAACTCCTATGCTTGAATTAATTGGTCTGTTCATTCCATTATCTCAGTTTTAAATTTGAGTGACAAGAAAGTTAAATCGAAATTTTTGAACCAGGCTGAAGTTCAATTTATTTCCAATTTTGTCGCTGTTTGAGAAACACAGGAAAAACATTTTCTGCACTGATTGTCTATAGTCTTCGAAGTCTGTTTGTTCAATTAATCAGCAGTAACCTTTTTCAGCGTTCCTGTCGGTAGCACTTGTGATAATCCTACTATTCGCTGCACTCTTCCTCTGGGGACTGTTTGCAAAGCGACGCAATTTGATGCTTGCTTTCACTACTCTGTCCTGTTTCCTACTTTTTGCTGTCGTTGGTGAGTCAGACGGTTTACATTCGAATTCTGGGCAACAGTAGTTGGAGCTATGACTAATAGTGACTGTGTAAACCGACACCCAGACACGTGCAGGTGCAAAATTTGCACGTTGCTCCTGGTTTTGTTTACTGTCATCTTGATCAAGAAGAGGAAGGGATTTGCAATTTTGATACGTGCAATATGAAAAGGAGTGACAAACTCCTGAAGCACGCAATTTGGGGTGTAGAGCAATTTGCACAATGCTAGGGGGGGGGGGGGGGGGGTTTCCAAGCAAGGCGCAGCCATCCAATGGATATTGTGCGAAAAAGCCGTCCATACGTAATTTCACTTTGTGATTGTGAGACAGGAGTCAAAACCTGTATAAAAATGGTATTCGATAGCCGATAGCCAGGAAGATTAATCCATTTGCGCAGTAGTGATGTGATGGTACGATAGGATTACTGTAGTTTTCCATCTGAGTGAGTGTAAAGTCCTATTGAGAGATAAAAAATTTGTATGTTGGCGGGATTATGGGTGTATTTTGTCCTGAGTCAAAAAAACTGTAAGAAAGGCGATCCCAATCAATTCTTTACGTCAATACTTTCTCCTTGTCTTCTTAATTTTTGAATCTGGTAAAAGCGATCTTCAGATCATAAAAATATCAGAATTACTAGTGGGTTGCAAGCTAGTTGCATAATTTTCCATATGGTTTTTTTGTTTCTTTTTCTCTTCAGAAAAAATAAAAGCGAAAAAGTCGTTGCGTAGGCATTTAGCCATTAAAAAGCAGACAAAAACGTGAGAATCAGATTCATTTATTTCCGTTGAGTAACATTTACATAATCATTATGCGGGAGGGGGTGGTGGAGAGAAAAACAAAAGTTTCAATGACGTGCTGAATTTAGTCTGATGTTCAAAAAAAAATTGGGCGACAAAGGTGGTGAAGGAGAATTTTTGGTGATTTAGTGATATTTTTGCAAAAATATACTCTTTAGGCACCTTGATCGCCACATTAGTGACAAGTGGAGACGAATTCAATTCTGCTGTGAGAAAAGCTGAAGGAGATGGCCATGGCCACCCGACTGTGGCTGATCTTGTGATCTTTAGGTATTTTAGATTTTCTACTCCCTCAATAATTTTTTATTTTTCATTCTTTACCAAACAAAATCGTTCCAGGGTCGTTCTCGTGGTAACAGCTTTAGTGCTTGCCATCGAAGTCTACGCCTACATTCGGATGTTTGTCTATATAAAAGCTGTACGAAGGAGTTTGCCTCGGTAGAAACATCGTGGTCCCTTCCCACTCCCTCCCCTTTCTGCCCCTTCAAATATGCATTCCCAACCCTAACTCATCCTTGCCTTAACCGTGCCTTCCACCCGGTACCGTGCACCTTTTTTAGGACTAATGATCTGCCAGTATTTCCAACATTTGACTTGGAATTAGGTATTCCAAGACCAGAATATTTTTCACCTTATGAGATGTGTCAATGTACCTCAACTATGCATTTGATAGGAAGACCTTATTCTACGGGTCGCTAAAGTACAGTAATCGGACGAAGATCTTGAGTAAAATGTAGGCACTACTTGTCTCTCTTGTAAGTCCGACATAACGCAAGACTTAAACTCAATTTATTGACCGTGTATGTACATAGGGGTTCTATAAATAGTTTCTATTGAATAAAATCATCATGATTGTAATTTTCGTATCACAAATTGACATGGATAATGCTCCAGAATGGAAGAAGACCCTTATGCACCGCTACAGTATGCTACCGTAACCTCATGCAACGTCTGCGGGCGAGGTGTGTTTAGCGAGGTCCGGAGCTTTGCGCTTCAAAAACTCCCGTCTCTTTTCTTCAAACAAAGCGCTGCAAAGTGCACATTCAGACGCTGCTGATCTCTCGAATATGGAATGTGGTTATGGTAGGCGTACTGTATGTGAGTAAAGAAGTTCCCTACCATTCAATGCACATATTGCACTGGGTAGTACCAATCATAGAACATGTAAAAGACTTTATAAAGCGATTTCTTCAGGATTGCAAGCCACAGTCGTTCTAAAAAAATTTTTTTGTATGAAATTTAAAATTACAGTAATTTGTTTCCTACCTATAAGTACTTCCCGTCGAATGTTGCTGAACTTTTGCAGTGCTGAATTCACATTCTGCTTCGATCAAAATCGTATGCGTATGACCATGACTGGTGGAAGCATACTGTCGTGACATCGACTGTGTTGTCAGCAGCGTCGCCACATCCACTTCTTCTATAAAACTAGTCGTTTCCATATTCGAGGCCGCTGAAGAAGCGAGTGGAGGATCTGAAATAAATTTTATCGGTTAAAATAATATGGAGGAAAATTTTTGTACCAGTAGCGAATAAATTCTCAATTCGTGGATGGGATTTTCTTGTTCTGGCAATCGGCTGAAGATTGAGGTATTCCGGTGAGGGCAAACTATCTGAGGTTAATCGAGGAGGTGCAGTGGGCACAACCATTGGTGACTCCATAGACATCGGCTGAAAACACCTCTGTGCTTTGAATGAAGAATAAACACACAAAAAGCTCACTTCGTTTTTTCGGAAAAGTTCGGGAAGTTTCTGAACGCTCAGATAAGGTGGATCTGGCAGAGAATCCATCATTGACGACGATACAAAGCAGATGCTGAAAAGCTTTATATTAGCAAAATTCCTTTTGGTTTCAATCGGGACTTGGTGAGCTTTACGCCCTTAGCATACGGGCAACGAAGAAAAGCGGAGTTTCAGTGCGATACCGATTCTCACACTCTCCCCCTGGTTTACGATAACAAGCAATGAGCGATGACAAACATACAACAATCAAGTTTTAGTTCATACTCTTTCTATAATGCGCTCATGTAGATTCAGCCTGAGGCTGGTTTATGTACACCAATATCTAGTCCTCATTTGGAGGCCTCGTTTCTGCACCCTAGTCTTTGAGTAAGGGTAGCTTTTTCCCGAATTTCCTTCTTCCATCGTATTAGAAATTCTCTTTTCATCCTCAGTCAAAATTCTGTTTTCCGAATTTTCCAAAAACACTGCCGTTTCGGGCAATAAGATCCACGATGAGTTGTGTTACGGCAAAGAAAGACAATCCGATCGAGATCATCGAAAAAACATTCTGGTCGTGGTCTCCTGGAATTTTCGTCTGCTACCAAATTGGCCAGCAGGGTAGTAGAGAATGATGAGTGGAATGCTCGAAAAGAGCACGGTCTGGGTGAGAGTTTAAAGTTGAGATTTTCTGCCGCTAATAAACAATATCAGCTTTTTGGGTACAATCCACTTAATCATTCTTATAACTTCTATACAAAAAACCTAGACGCCCAGGTTTGCCCTAATTGAATTTTTTGCACTTTCAAAAGTTCAAGCATTACAGCAGCTTACCTCGAATTTCGGTTGCTGTGCATTTCATGCAATTCGCTCACGCTCAGATGCTCGCTGGGAGCTGACGATGGAGGAGAACTTGATCGGAAGGACTCAACAAGACATCCAAAAGAAAAAATACATTGTTTTTTTGAGCTTTTTCCAAAAGATAATTTCGGCAATGAATCTAACTGTACCTGCCTGTTTTTCGGCCTCGACTGGAAAACTTGGACAGTTTCAGTCTTATAGTTGACATTGCATCGCTCTGCGTAGACGGTGGCGTGGAAAAGGAATCCATTGGCTGGAGATACAGTAGCATACGGTAGTTCAAGTCCCTTTTTTGGTAACAAAAAAGCTTACATGAATGATCTCGACTCGTGGACGAGTTTGCCTTCTAGGTCGAGAAACGAGATTTTTCAGCATCTTTAAGAAAGAATACTGTTTTCGAAAAAAGAGATGAGGACTATTCAATACCCTTCTAATGTCATGCCTTCTTACAATGATCTTCTTGATGGCCATAAACCACACAACACCGGATAATGCTAATAATCCCACATTCATAACTGTGAGGATAGTTCGATGAAGAAACCATGGACAATGCTCCAAGTCTGCTTCTACTAGAAGAACTATCAATTGCAAGCTCTTAGATAGTTCGTTCGACTTTTTTCTACAGATACAGTTCGTAAATCAACAGTGTACTGATGACTTCCTAAGCATACTGTAGCTGTCAAAGGATCATGCAGTCATCTGCAGTAATTTTCAGGAGCAAAGAACTCCATCGAGAAAAAAATCTCCATTCTAATCTAACCCATAAACATTAAAAAGAGATGAAAGTCCAGCCCTATAGAGCACAGCTTTAAAACTTGCAAACTGTAAGTTTTCAAGAATAAAAAATTCTGCTAAAATTTCACCTTGATTGAGCATGAGTGAAGCCAACAACGATTTGTCCACTTTTGTAGTGATAATCAAGGTGGTCGAAAATACTGTTCGCTCTGGATTACACACATAGCCATTCTGAAATGAAAAGAGTTGACAGCCGGAGGAACAATAAAAAGGTGATGATCAGAAAAATTTATGTTCTTATGAAGGAAAAAGAACAAAAAAACAAAGAATGATTGTGTTCACATTTAATCTCACATCTAAGGACATGATCAAGCGAAAATAATCAAACATGAGCAGACAGTAAAATTTCGAGAAACCTGGTGATTCCAACTCATACAATATAGTAATATCTAAACATCATCTTTACAAAAAAAGAGGACTTTCTGACTTTCCAGATGTGACAGCGTTGCTATAGTGCGGACCCCGGCTAGGTTCCCATAGGTACTTCCGCAGCGCGCGCCCTTCTCAATGCCTCTTGCCTCACTCATGAGCAGTAGAGCATATTTATGCTCACAAAGGAGAAAAATGTAAAGTGGAAACCTCTAGGTTCCCTTCGAAAGAGACGTATGCAAGAATGAAACGCAGGCAACTTCCATAAATACCTCGAATTCAATCAATGGATGCATATTCCGAACTTGCACTGATGGATAGGTTGTAATAACTATACGTGAAAATTAAAGAACAGCATTTTTGAAACGTTTCTCTTCGCAAACGTAGAAACTAGAGTGGTCAAAGATTCCAAAAAAATAGACATTTCAGTAAACAAATGCCTATTGGCTTCTCGGAAGGCTCAATTTTGACTAGAGACACTGTCTACACCTTACACATCAAACCGAAAGGGAGTCTTATTTTGTAAAAGAAGCTTTTGAAAAAATATTATCTTAATATCCAATCAATTCTCAATTTTTTAGACAAAAAAGGGAAAACACAAGACCACTACACAAGACTGAAGCTCTTAGAACTATTAGAGCACGTATAATCCGTCACCGATCATGGCGAATTGTTTATACCTAAAATAGAGAGAATATAGTACACCAAAAACAAAAAAAAAAGAGAAAGGAGGATTTCCATCAGAAGTTAGGACAGGAGACGCACTGAAGGCGTGCGTTGCGGGTGCGTCGCGCAAGTACCTATGGGAAGCTGGCCGGGGTCCACACTATATATATTTACATTTTTTACATTTCACCTTATGTTGACCGTTGATTTGACTAGTTTGAAGGAAAGTGGATTTTGACATTAGCTGCAGCTTTGAAACAGAGAACTGAATACTCGTGGGTCATCTATGCACAAACCCAATTGGAAAAATTACTATATTGACTCGCAATGGAAGTAAGATTCAGGAAGTTTTGAGGATAACCTGGTAACTTTCAACGCTATAAAATGATAGTTTGTGAATACGATAAGATAGCTTGATTGGTGAAGACAATGACGAACATAGTTAATTCAGTAGAAGTTGATTTACCCTATTTTCCGGTTTATAAGCCGCACCTTATATAAGCCGCACCCGCCGCAGCGAACAATAACGCGAAAGAGCCTTCGAAAAGAGTTTTGATCTAACAAACTGAAAACTCGCTGCATTTTGTGACTGCTTTTCATTGCGCATGTTCACGTTTTCAGAGATATTTCTTTATTCTTTCCAGAGATTCGGACGATTTTGGGGTGTTTGGGTTGTGTTTTTTCCTCAAGGATACAATGGAGTTGGCCGTGTTTTCTTTTGTTTTTAAAGATGTTGCTGAGGTTAAAACTGCTGCTGTTTTATTAGATTTTAATTACTGTTGATGATGATGTTGATGTTTCAATAGTGCTTTCAATGCTTCCAAAGAAAGAGCGAAAGCAGAAAGTTACAATTAGGGTACTAGGTAAAATAGGTGGTAGTTGGCTGCTTGCGCGGCTTCGCACATCGCGACCATCATCTCACATCAGCCCGCGCGCGACGAAAGTAATTGCGGCTTATACGCCGGAAAATAGGGTAGTAAAGGTCTCTTTTTGAGAAAAGCCAGTGAAATTGTGCCTAAATGCGCAATTTTTGTGGTAGTTTTAAACTGGAAGTTATTCTCTGTCGGCTCCTCATCAGTGTGATTCTATTCTATGTCCTACATAGTTCGGATGGGATACTGTAGCGGCGCTGGCTATTTGCGTCTGGATACTGTAGTGCAGACGCTAATGACCATCATTACTATAAGTAATTAGCAAACGGTAGTGAAATCGATAAATCTTAAATTTTTTGAAAGCACATATCAGCGAAACAACTCCTATAAAATTTCTTCATTACATGCCTGCTTTTGAGCTTTTCAAACTCTTCCTGTGTGAAAAAATTTCCCTGATCTTCTTAAGTCTTTTCAAAAACAGCCCGAACGCTCTAGCTGCTCGAATGCCGTGCTCAGATCAAGACAAAAAGTGCATTGCTGTAAACAGAGTTCTTTCCGCAAACATTTCCCATATCTGCGCTCGCCTAAAAGCTATTTCCAAAACCTATTAAAAACATCTTTCTTTCTAATGAAACCCAAACTTTATGCGTCAATGGCAGCCGATGTCGCGAAGGTGCGAAAGTCCATCGCAAAAAAATATGCGCAGCTTTGAGAAGCGTGGGTTTCAGAAATCCGATCCGGTAAAGATGCGCGCAAAACCCCTTAAGAAATCGGAGACGAGCTGCTATTAGCGGACCGTGCGTCTTTCTTTGGCAAGGCCACTAGCAAATGGACACTGGACCTGCTCACAGCATTTATAACCATGGGAGATGTATTAATAAGAATTGGATACTGTTTATTTTTCATTAGAGAGTAAAAGTGGAGTGAAAAATGACCTCTACCACTGAAATATAGATCATATCCTGTTTTCGTTTCGCCTCTTACCTGAGGCGAATATCAGATCTCTGAGCCTCCTCGGATCCTTGAGTAAGGAAGGAGAGCTCAGAGGAATAGAATGTTCCAATTTTCAGGAACTTCACATCAGAAACATTGATCGTAATTACCAACATCATTATGTTATTGCAAACGTAATAAGCGGTTATTTTCTCCTATAAATCTGCTAACCTAAAAGGCTATGGAGCAGCCTGAAGCAGGTTTTTCATATCATAACAGTGCTCTTCCTGACCTACCTTTAACTTTCCTTTGATTTCTATTCGACTTTGGTCGGTCACAAAGTGTCACAATGTCACAATTCTCAGAGTTATTGCGGCAAAGGATTCCTTATAGAGGTGCAGATGAACTCCAGAAAAGTATTTCCGGTAAAGGGTGTAATGATCTAAGAGTAGCACACACAGAACGATCATCTTGCCGTTTCTGCTTTTAGGGTTTAAAGTTTGGAACAGCTTGCGAGCCTTAGCAAGTCGATGTTAGCTATAATGGATGAAATTTTTAGGTAAGAGTCCTGCCCATGGGAAACACTTTTGGTAAAGCTACTCCCGTTCTTCACGGAGGATACGTCTTTGCCAAGATAAGAGGCCAAAAGCGGGCGTTGTTTAGTTGTTTAGTTCTTTCATTCTTCTTGTGGTCAACTTGTAAATCTGCTTCTCAAAGTTACTCTGATGGCCGCTACTGCACCATTCTAATGGTAGATAGTGGGGGATTATTTGTCGAAGATAAGAAGACAATTTTAGGCCGAAAACTGCAAAAGTCTCATTACTTCACATCGACATATATCTCCGTGGAAGTCGACTTGCGTCGAATCAGTTATGAACGTTGAAGTCACATTAGGAGTCAATAGAAGTCGTAGAGATTTTGAAACGAACAAAGCTCAATGAGGATGAACTCGTAAAGTTTTTCATAGAATTGTGTATCCAAGCATTTTATGGCATTATGGCAAGAGCATTTTGAAGGTACATAGTAACCAAAAAATTCGTAAGACTAGGTTTTAGTCAACTTTTGGTTCCAGAAAATGCACCTCCCACTTGCGAAAAGGTAATGGTTTAAAAAGAGAAATTACTTGATTTTCACTTTGATCTCTGAGCTGATCAGGTTACGGTAAAAAGGTTACATGAGTGTGCGCTTCATTATGGTTCAACTAGACTGTAATGTGTAAAGGGTTCGGAAATATTTTCGTTCAAAGAGATTGGAAAAGAATTGTGGGTCCCATCATGATATGTGTATACCAGTGTCGGGGCGAAGGAGGAGGGGGGGGGGGGGGGAATCGGGGATGGGCCGCAAAATTTTTAAAATTTACTTACATGGGTTGTAAAAATGTGCCAGTAACTTGTTTATTCTTGCAAATGATTAAAATAACTTTCAAGAATTTTTAAAAATTCAAATTAGTAATTTGTAAAAACCGCCACGCTCCCTTTTTCTAGCTTTTAGGGGCTATGGAGTCTCAGAAATTTTTCGAAATGGGGGGGGGGGGTCAACGCCAAACACCTTCATGCAAAAAAACTTTTGCCCCCCCCCCTTCTCTCTCTCCTCCCCGGACGGAAATCCTGGGACCGCCGGCGGTGTATACTACATCTTCACAATATGTCTTATTGCATGAGTAATGTCAGAAAAAATTCTTTTAGATAAATCACTTCTAAAAAATTGAAGAAATGTTGAACCTTCCTTAGCTGTATTCTATCAAAGTAAATAAACTCCGATGGCAATAATGCTACAGTATCCTCATGAAACAAATGTTGTACGATAGTTGAAATATAAGCCCCAGCTGCACGCCCACTTACTCCCAATGAACTGAAATAGACATGACCTTTTCCTATTTTTGCGCCGTCCCTAAGGTCCAAATACAACCCCGGGGGCGTGTGAACAGTGGACCACATACGGAGATTTGGAAATCGTCCATTATAACCATTAAGGTCTTAGAATCCGATCCGGAAAATGACGCAACTTGGCGCGTGCCGTGGAGAGCCGGGGTGGCACCAGAGGCGGAGCCGAGCTCCTCGAGCTCATCTCCTGGTCACCATAGTCGCTCGTCGGTGCTTCTGACTGGTAGCATCCGAACGGGTTTCCGTATTTCGAAAATATTCGAAAGGGACCATCGAGATGATGACTTTGCCTCTGCTGGTGCTGCTCTGTGCAGCCGTCTGTGCCATGGCCGCCGAGGATTCAGCCGAACCACAACGACGATTTCGACTAGTCAACAGTTTTGAGTCGGGACTACGTCGACCTGATAGCATCTACTTCAGGAAAAGAGGTAAGCGAGCCATTTTTCTGGGCAAGTTTTCGAAAAATTTAGGGTTACCTTGAAGTTCTCATTATGCCCACCTACGTAAAATAACCTTCCAACAGTCCAAAAAGCTCAAAAGCGGACGTCACCAAAATTTTGGCGCACTCTCAAGTAGGATCCCTTTCCTAATCCCCTTACAAAAACTCCCTTTGAATAAAAAATAGCGTTTGTACTCCTTCACGTCCGTTATTCACACGCTTCTCTTAATCGGAAAGATGGTAACCAGAAAACAGTGATGCTAGTAAACATCTTCAAGAATTACTAACAACGAGCATTTCATCTTTGATCCTATTGCTTTGCTCTAGGAAATAGCCATTTCCGAACACTGAAGCTTGAGGGTAGGATGAAAAACTTTTATGGTTCTGCTCTCAAATTTTCTGCAAATCTATCCTCAAAAAGACTTTGACAAGTCTATCTACTCCTCCAATTTTTTAGGAAGAATTTGCTTTGTTTTTTTCGGAAGTGGGATTCGTTTTTTTCACTTGTCCAAAGGCTAACCATAATTGAGCGAGTTTCGTCAAGCATACCTTTGACTCCTTGTCTGCTTGTTTAGGAACAACAGCAGTACGGAAAAAAAATTTAGATTTTTTGAGAAAAATTCTTATTGATATAGAATCTGAAGAATTTTTAAAAAGATAAGGACCCACGTCTGAATAGCATTATGATAAAGCAAGATTTTGAATCAGAATTTTTGCAAAAATTGATCATTCCTTAGATCAAACATGTTTTACTACCTACAAGGTTTAGCCTAAGGCTGAGTTCAAAAGCACCTACTAAGATTTCTAATCAAAAGTCTTTCCCATTGTATTGAACTGGCTAGACTCTTGCACTTGTTTCCTTAGAAATGAGTAATTAGATTTCATATCAAAGCTCAAGATCGCACTTTTCAAAAATGATCAAGAGACCGCTCCATATGGCGAAAAAATTTTTCTCAGGAGTCCAGAATTTGAAAAATAATTAATTGTTCAAGTATGAAATTATGCTTGTCACACAGTAGCACCCCACCCTCTAAACACTACCTTTCCTTGTAATCACAGCTTCTACGCTTTTAAGATGTGTTTTCCTACGATTAGAAAATAACACTCAGGTTACATCATTCCCCCCCCCCCTCCTTACCCTGCTAGAAGATAAGAAAACACGACGCGTCGTTCGGTTTGTTGCTCTGATTTCACCTAGTCTAGAGCTAGGTCTCAATAGTGGGAGCAAGGAAACATTCATTAGAACCGCATTGAGAGTGGAAAATGGTTTTGCGCAAAACGTTGCTCACGTCTGAAATCGTCGTGCTACACATTTTAGCGTTTCCGTGTGTGAAATCTCTCACCTAAAATGTAACACTAGACGGGGGCCACGTAGGGGTGAATGAATAGGGGGGGGGGGGGGAACGAGCGAAGAGGAATGAGCTTTGACGCATATCATCTTGATCTCTATTACACCAGCATGGAATTTTACGTAGAGCTTAGGGGGTTACTGTAAAAAATGAGTGTGTACTGAAATATCCGAGATGTAAGAAAGATCACAATATCTTCCCAGTTTCTCACTCTATTATAAAAGGTACAGTAAGCATGAGAAATCGATAAAAAATGCTTCGTTTTTGAAAGCAGACTACGGTACCCTCGGCTCAAAATACTCGTTTCTCATCACTTCCTACACCTAGTCCTTGTAAAATAATACATTGAATCTTCATACATACATTGATAGGCGTAAATAGTGACCACGAAATTTCACGGACACGGATGCAGAAAAATGTATTTCCTCCTCAAAATTGACGCAAGTTACGTGGTATTTTACGAGCTTATTAAAGTGCCAAAATTGTTCTTAACGGATTGAGTAGAAACCGAAATAAAATAGTCTAGAACCTTAATGATGTAATTACTTATTATATGATTACTTATTGTGGTTTAAAAACCATAGTTTTTGTATCCTTTATTGGCGGAAGTCCACAGAAATTGATCACTCGATAATTCTAGTTTCTTGCGAGTTTTCGAGGTTCAATTTAATTTTAATTTCATCTAATTTCAAACTTTGTGCGAGAAGTTCTAGAAAATACCCAAGAGAAGAACGTTAATTACGTGATTTTCACAGGCTTAGAATTAGTTTTCTTGCAGAAATTAAGGTAAAACTTGGATCTAGCAACGATTTCCGCAAGCCTAAAATTATTTTTCTTGCAAAAATCAAGGGAAAAGCTAAGCTACTCGAGAGAACTATTTGAAGGTAAATAAAGAGAATTTTGATGCAATTTAATTCGCTACTGCGGATGACTCTAAAGTATCTTTCTTCGAAACTCTCAAAACCTTCGTTTTTATGCAATGTGTACTCTAAGCTGTTCCTGAACTAGAGAACGAACATTTGAAAGGGTGTGTCTAGCCCTAACTATGTTTGTCAGCATAGATAGTTTGTTATTGACAAGAAAGCAAGCTAACCTGCCCTTTTCAAGTGGCTGTGATTCGATTTAAGAAAGATGCTAAGATTTTCAAGCTTACTAGCTAAGGAGAACACTTTGGTGACTCATAAAATGTAAATCCTTCCTACTTTCTGTGCCCTCACACCCGGTAGCTGTTCCAGAAATTTTTATTCTTGAAAAGGGAAGAGGAGGGGATAGAAAATCACTCTGGATAAGGGAACAAGACATTATTGAAAAACTTCAGTGAGCTTATAATCTGGAATTTTGGAAAGGCTTTCAAACCTTCCCAATTCTTCTTTGCAATACTAGCTTAGAATTCTATGAAATTTAAACAAAATTCGGATGTTTACAAGTGAAAAGGAGTCTTCTAGAAGAGTTTATGACTCATGTGAGACAATCCAAAATTCCGGCCGCATTCTCAATTTTACCGCCTCATTTTCGTCTCCATGAGAAGAAGATCAATCACCTACAGCTTTCAAGAAGGCATTGTCACTTAGATTCCTCACATCCACCTTATTTGGATTGAAATTCTGAGAATCTTCGAAAATGCCGAGCAAAGTCATTCATCACTTTGCTTTCCAATCCAGTCTAGGAAAAGCTGGAGAAATTCTGAGATGAATGCCGACAAAAATTTTTCTTGCAAGCGTAGGATTCGAAAGGAACCGAATTTGAGTTAAAGTCTTTTCAGTGCCTTTCTTCAAAAAGTATTGGTAAAAATTCAGAAAAAAGCGAAAAATTCCTCTTTTTTCATCCGATCCACCCTAACTTCCACTTGGAGCCTTTGGTTTTTAGTTGATAGATGAAATTCTAGATTGATAACATGCATTTTAGGAAGTGGCTTCTCGGGCTTCGGAAGGTTGGCTGAGAAGAGGAGAGTACGTGAGCTGTTCGGTAAGTTCACTACGCTTTAGTCTTGTTTTTCGCTGAGAAAATAACAAAGAAATTGAATGCTTGAGACTATTTCAAATGAAAACCCAGATAACAAGTCATCCACTGTTTTTTCTAATACGAAATGCAACTGTGGGTTCCTGTCTGAAGCTTTAAGTTTAGTATAAAACTATATAATATTTATAATGAGTTCATTAACAAAAATTATTCATGAAAATTACACTCTTGGACTTGTGACAAAAGATAAAAGCCGCTCTTCTTGATACAAATAGACTATCCTCTTAAAACTCGGTATCCTATCAAACTTCCAACAGTGACATTGAAATCTACTTCTTGGAAATCTTTTTTGATAACATGAAACGCTTTGGAGAAAATGGAAAGCGAAATGTTTTTGTCCTACTACTCTTTTTTCCGTGCTCACTTGGCTTCAAAACAGTTCCAAACGTTCCCTTATTTTTCGAAACAGCAAATTTACATTCGAACCACCTTGACCACAAAAGGTAAAGATTTTATCTGTGCATAATCATCATTAAGGGAAATGAGGAGTGGTGCAAGTGTGCTGAAAGGAAATTGAAGTTGTAAGAAAAATTCGGGAAAATAAATATGTTCGCTTTATCACTTGGTCTTGGATGAACCATGACCATCCCCAAGGAAGACGCTCGCGCTTTTTTCTTTAACAGAGTGGAGAAGGTAGACAAAAAGGAAATGGTGGAGAGGGTAGTAAGAATAAACACTATTTTTGCTACTATTGCTACTTTGCTATTTGCTATCCTTCCCTCTTCGGATGCATCGCGTCACTGAGCGGCTCAGTTTCAATGTTTATGTGTTTATAGTCCACCGCATAGTCAAACCCTTGCGCTTTTGGCGGCAAAGCCGCGCTGCTGGCGTACGCGCGAGAATTTTATTTTGAGTGCTAACAATGAAAGTCGTAACCATATAAGGTTATACCACAACAGTAATGATTTGTTTGAGCTTCTTTATTGCACAGAGTGCTTGTCGAACTTGGAACTACATTCTGGTGGGCAAATTTTTTGTGGCCTTTTGACATATTGGCGAAGGTTTATAGTTATCTACAATTTACAGTTTGTAATTACCTATCTGTTTACCTAGAATTTTTTCTAAATCTCTAAAAAAATCGGTTTTTCTTATCTTCCCCCTAAAAAGGAAGCACGTCAGCATAGCTAGAATTTCATCTGCTGAAGGGCAATGCAAAGTTGCTTTAGCAGGTTTCTTAGCTAATTATATGCTCAAAAATTGCAAGTAAACATGCTCCAATGGCTTTCGTTGTTCCACGCAATGCGCATCGAATTTCGTTTTGGTTACTCTGAAAATGCACACGCGAAATGCCGAAGGGCCAAAGCACAATCAGAAAATATTATATGACGATGAAGATCAAAATTCCCCCGCATGAACAATCTGACTAGCAATTTTCTAGGGAAACGATCTGCACCTGCCTACGACGCTTCAGAAGACTATATGTCCGACTCACCTGATGACCAATATCAATCGATATACGATCTGATGCAAATGCATCGTGAACGACGTGGACGAGCACGAGAACTTTTCGGCTAAGCATGCAGTGCCATCATAATCAATATATCGATCGATGGGAAATGAGTCAGTGAGAGGTTAAGAGTACTGTAGTTCGCTTCACTTACGATCTCGCAAAGTGCTGTATATTTTTCTACTAATATGATCTAATCGACCCTGTATGTGCGTGCCCGGTATGATAAATATAAGACGTTGAGAGCAGAATTTGAATATGGAAGGACGTAAAAAAATCATGAAGTCGACTTTTTTGCAGTAATACACTACGAGGGATTGCTCCCATGAATGTTGACAAACAGTCCAGAAGGCCATAAATGGAAGAGTTTAGTTTTTTGTAGCCATGGAATTGTAACTAAAAGCAAGGCAACAAAGTAGTGACGTACCGAGGGGTGGTGGGGGGGGGGGGAAGCTCACATGAGTTATAAGAATGTGCAGGTGACTCCTTGTACATGTAAATAATTAGAATAATTTTAAAATCTAAATCCAAAATAGCCTGTGAAAAAAATTTTCGGACGTTGTGCAGCCATGCTCTTCTAATTTCGGGGTCACTAGTACGCAAAAAGTTTGAAGACCGCCCCAAAAAAAATTCCGGGGTGCGCGGCTAATGTCGCGCCATTGCATTCCAAAAAAATCTTCTGCCTTCCGCCCCCCTCGAAGGGAAATACAGCTTACGCCAGTACAAGGAAATTATAGAAAATTCAAAGATGAAAGGATATTGAAGACGTTATGACATACAGAGTATTAGATAAGTATTTTTTGTGAAATTTCATAATCTCTCATGAGGAGAGAGCCAGATTTGAGTTTCAATATAAGTGCAGCATCAGAAGAAACGTAAAGCGTGTAGGACGCCCTAGAACTTACGCAAACGAATCCACCGAAGTATATCTGATTCCAATAATGAGATTTTCACCAGCGGTCAAACGCAGAAATGTGACACTGATAAGAAGTAGTACCAGGGCCATTGAATTCACAGTATCAAAAAATATGGGTAGTAAATTCTTTGGAAAAGTTCATTTATAAGTTCGAGACTTTTCAGGGTCCTGTAAATGCTCTCCTGACAAAGGAATGTCCTGACATTGGGTATTTTAATTTGATCAGGCCACCGTCCAAGAGTAGCTCATACGATTCAACCGCGACCTAGGAATTTGCCTACTGACTTTTACCCGTACCGTACTCTTCTGGGGCGCAATAACGATCGAGTACGGTATTGGGCAAACGCAGAGTAGAATTTTCCGCCACGAATAAATGAGAGCTGCCTTCTGGGCAATAACTTAGTCAGGGCTCTTCATTAGTGAGTATCAAGATCGTCCAAATGTCCAGGTCTATCAACTGAGATGCGCAGCAGGTCTTGGAGTAATTTTAACATTTATTAGGAGAAAACTCAAAATATGTACATTATTATAGCCTATTGAAATATTGGTCTTAATAATTACTGTAGTATGTATTGAGGGCCTATTAAAAAGCATGAGGAACACTATATCTAGTAGTGTATATAGGTTTTGTACAAGCTGGGACCAAATATCCACTCGAATTGCAGCCAACTCGAAAAAGAGTAGAAAGGCTTTTTGAAAAGAATTTAAAATAAGATAATTGTATAATTGCCAACCTGAATGCATAAATCTCCACAAGCGACTACCGAGCACTGCAGCTGAGGTTCATTCAAACCGCTAAAAACGGATGAGTTCAACTTAGCCGTGTAGATCGTTCCTCGTTCGGCTAATTTTCTTAGAAATGGCGTAATAGCAGATGTGGACGTACAGCCACCCTGGCAATTGATGATCGGGTTACGGTAGCCTACTGTCACTGCCGTACCTCATCAGTAAGCTGGATTATTTTGACATCTTTGTTGTGCTCTGAAACAATCTGGCACAATGTTGGGACAGCATAGCGAGCGGCTACGAGGACCACATTCTTTTCCATGATGTCAACATTGAGAAAACCTTCCGAGGCTAAGGATATTTGGATGTCCATGCTATTTAGGTGGTTCGGAGAAAGTCTGAAAGCAAAACATTTGCAATGAGCGCTAAAAAAATATTTTCGGCCTATCTACCTTTCGTGAATAATATCCTCCCCATAAGGGGCGCAAGACACTATGACGACCTCCTCTGGCTGAGTGCCAGGAGAATTCGGAACGATGTCGACTACAAGAGTTTGTGATTGGTTCTGGAAGTAAATTTCCACTTCTTTTGTGACTTTACAGCCTTTTTTGGGACAAACCATACAGACTGCGCTGTTTTCCACATAAACTGAGTGCACTCTATGTTGATGACATCGTGCTGGAGCCCGTGGTCGAATTGTGCCAAACATCGGATCAAGCAGAACGACATGCGATTGTGTACAAGTTGCCAACACTGTAAAATCAGGCGGTTTGTTGAGCTACGGTATTTTGAAACAACCTAGTATTGAGCAAAAACTGGTTAAGAAAAGCGCTTTGTATTGTAGGTTTGCTTACTCCGGAAGGAATAACGTATTCAAATAATTCAACAATATTTGGCACAACATTTAATGGTACTTTTATGATGAAGAAATGTAGAAATGTCTTATATAAGACCAAAGCTCAAACTGGATTTACGTACTCGCAACCCACTAGAAAATCTATCGTACCAAAAATCCACATCTCGACGGCTCACCTACACCCAGAAAGTGGAAATTTATTTACGCTACTAATAAAATAATATGCCACTATGTCTAGATAATGTTTGCAAAGAAGGTTTAGATTTCTGATATCGTTTTATGCCATGCATTCCATGAAAAAATCGCTTCTTCAAGGCTATTTCCAAGATCGGAGATGCAATTGGATTTTCTTGAACCTTGTGGCCGGCCGGCACGTGGTCGTAAAATTTTGCAAAAGCCTTCAGATTTTTTACGAAGTAAGAGGAAATTTTGAGTCTACCTTTTAACCTTGTAAGTGAACAGCATCGTAAGCATGCTACCAAAACTTTTTGATCCCCTTTGTTAGAATTCATAAAACACAAATCTGCATTTACACTACTCAAAAAACCTCTACTGGGGAACTCATGAATATTTCTTAGCGAAAGCGAACATTTAGAGCATTTGAACACGCTATCAAACTATATGGGCTCCATCAACGATTTTCACACTTTCTGCTTGAAAACAGTTATCTGAAAGTTATTTTCAAGTCCAGGAACTCTCCCTTCTTCACTTATGCACAAACTGCGCAACCATTTGTTTTACTAAACTAGTCCTTCTACGGCTCATACTGGCAGAATTTTCCTTCAAAAAAGTGGAGCCAGATAGACCAGTTCGTTCCTTGTATAGTCCACAAATCTAAATGTGATGAATGGCATCAAGCCCGGTGGATTGGGCTGGTGTTTACGGTTTGAGAAGTTTCGCATGAATTAGCTGTACATAAGCAAGTTGGAAATCGAATGACTGTAAAGTTAGGAGCGTTTGGAGAGTTTCCGATGTTTGATACAGGCCGGTTAGAATTCGATGATATCGAGGAATTATGTATCGGCGGTCCTTACAGACTGCCAGTGATTCTAGAATAATTTGTGCTCTTAATCCTAATTTCGAAAGTAATAAAAAAGGGGAAGCAGCTTAGTTAATATGCATTGATTTTCAAGTCCAACCTTTGTCTAATAGCAATGAATTTCGTAGCAGTTTCAACTTCTACATCTATCTGTTTCCTACCGTTATAATAAAAGATAATTTAGAAAATATTGCAGGGAATGCATACACAATAAGCACCCATATCTTCAAAAAATTACAGAGTTTCTGAGGACAAAAAGTTAATCGTTTTCAGCACTTCTGGACATGGAAGGGAGTTGCCAGAGAAGAAGTTTAAAAATTCAGCCACCATTGCAGAAAGCACACATAGAGTATATATTCGAGCAGCAACATAAGAAATAAAATTTGAAACTAAGAAAGGTATCGACATACCAAAAGAAGTCATTAAAAAAGAGGCAGGATCTTGGCTATAAACGATTTGAAAGGAATCATAAATCGAAGAAGAGGAAAAAAACGACGGTTTTCACAAACAAGAGGTTTAACTTGGTAGAAAAATTACTTCGTTTACTACAAAAATTCGTCCGTAAGGTAATGCTAGCTCGAAATTGTGCCAGAACCATGAACCATGTAAGGTTAGCGCTGCCATTTAAGCCAACTACAATATCCATTGCGAATTATGGAAAAAGTTGTCATCGAGGACGCAAATGAACTGCGACGACAAGTTTTTCAGTTCATCTTAATGCTCGATCGAAAGAAGAAGAAGCGTGTGCTGTTTCGGCGCTGCTATTCGCAAATCGAACACCCGTATTCTCGGCTTCTCGGAGGATTTTGTTCGGCTTTCTTGAAATTTTTCAGAAATGCCTTTTTTCTTTCTAGAGTAGTTTTTTTCTGCCAAAATTCTTTCAGATTTCTTCTGCAAATAACGTAGTTGCGAATATCCGGTGTAGCAATTTTTTTAACATCTCCTTCCTTCCCGGCTTTGTTCTCAAACTGAGAGTTCACATTGACGGAATAGCTTCCCCGGTCCAAAAAGTGATCCCTGTGCCCCACCCTTTCTCCGATTTAGCGCCGACATCATTAACGTTCTCTTAGATCGTCCGTTCGGCTATGCATTTGCTAAGTTTTCGTAATGTGTGTCCATCTAATCGCAAATCTCCATCAAAGAGAGTTTTCAATCCACTCATTTCTTGTTCCCTCGGAGGATAATCGCAGCTTTTCACAGGATTTTGCTAGTAATTTAACATTAGCAGAAATCTAGTCCTCGGATTTCTTTGAGTGAAACTCGATTTCTTTTTTCCCGCAGTAAGAATCGATAACTCTCTCAGGAAAAGTTCCTGGCGCTGATGATTTTGAGCAAAATTTCTTGCATGAACAAGTGAACCAGATTGTTTGGGTTATTTTTGATTTTGTATTCAGCAGGAAAAAGAAATTTTTTTATGATATTGATAATTTCTATATTTGTTGTTGCATTTGTTGTTGCAACTGCTTGCATTCTGTCTTTATATTGCTGAAGGTTTTTGATATTTTTAACAAAACTTTTGTTAATTATTTATAAAATGTGAAATTTACAGAATTGGAATACTTGTACTCCAAGGTTCGATAAAGTCAAATCTTCTTCAGAAAGTTCTCGTAAAAAATAGAATAGTCTATATTTTTTATCCCGAAAAAGTCATTCCATTTCTATCCCTCCCCCCCCCCCTCCTCTCTCTTCCCCCTTCTTCCAACCTCTATTGTCTACATCTCTTCAATCCTTGGATTATTCTCATCTCCTCCATTCTATCCTTACGCCTAATTCTTCACAAAGCGCTGAAGTGTCACGCTTTGCAGTGTTTCTTTTTCTCATTCCGAAGCCATGAAATCTCGTTTCTTGGCTAACATTCCGCAATCTGCATTCTATCGATCACCACTGTTGATGATGTAAAGCTTCTTGATTTATTTCTTCTATCATCAAAAGACAGGGCTGAGACGAACGAGTATAGCCTGCGCAGGAAAATCCGACATTGTGTGGATCAACCAATTATTTTTTGTCAGTTTTGTGCAATTATGCAGGAAGAAACGAATCATAAAACGATAGCAAGCTGTACTAATCAGTTTGAATTTTCATTACTTCTTATGATAATGATTTTTAGCATGTTTGATAGCAAATGACATCCATACGCTACCCACCATGGCGCAATTTTACTCCTTAAAAAGACTATATTAGGAACTCTCCTCTCGCCGCTCCCTCATTTAATAAAAGGAAAGTGTAGTCACTTTTGCAAATTATCTTAACGTAGTGAACATAAGAAAGGCTTCGAAGGACATCCATCAGTCACAAAAACCTTGTTGACGAGAAAATTGCCGTTATTTCCGTTTTCATCCCGTTAGCAAGTAAATTTAGCAATTTTGTGAGTATGCAACCTGCAAAAAAAGTTATTCAGAGCTATGGCTCTTTCAAATAGTAAAAATTTTCCATTTTTTTGCTTTTAAAACATTTACCTAGTCGCAAATATTTATGTTGAAGAATCAGTCCTTCCCATTTATAGAAGCATTTTCTCAAGAAATGTTTACTTTGAATGAATCTACCAGAATGGAAAATTTTTATGTGTCATTGCAACTACAATTTGTCCATTTTTACTCCTCCTGCCGCATTCTCAGTTTTTGAAACGAAGCAAATTATAAACGTCTACTCCTCTACTAAGTTATTGTATTATAAAATCTAATGCGCGTTAGTGAGTCATCCTTTAATAGGTCTAACAATCTAACTCAACTTTTACTTCAGCAACGACTGTGAGTGAGTCTTTTGAAGTGAAGAAAATAAGCGGTAGGGTTTACCGTTCATCCATTTTTTTTATTTGCTAATTCTTTTAAAAAATTCGTCTCATATGTGAGCAAAGTTACCTTCGATTATAATTTAGTACGTTTGACGATTATTATGTGTTCTTGCGCTGCCGACAACATTTGCGCGTAAACAATGGCAATGTGCGCTTTCGAGTGATTTTTTGACGTGCAAATCACATTTGTTACGTAGTTTCATCTGCTCTTAATCTTGCTGTCTGCTTTACAAGGGCAAAAACTTCATATTGCACTTTTCGAGAATCATCTGCACCTTCTTAGCACCCAGTGAATCAGTCACTTTACCCGATTTGGTACAATAAAAGTGCGTTTATCGTTAGTCAAACAAAAAACAGTTGAGGAGTAACCCAATCAGCGTTGCGTACCTTCCCTTGTCCTCTTCATATCATGCCCTTTCTTGGAGGCCTTGAGATGAGATTTTATACTCTTGAATACTCTCGAAATGAAAGTTTTAGCGAGAAATTCCTTCTAAGCTTGGATTAACACATTTTTTCCTTCCATTATGAGAACTTTCCAAGGCAACTGTTCGTCATTGGTTGTTTCTCAACCTGCTCTCGAGTACTTTACTTTCGGCAAGCAACCGTTTTACGATGATGTCGATCTTTTTAGGGAGTTTTCGAGGGAGATTTTCACACTATGCTCATGTTACCGCTATTCTAGGCCATATTCGATTCATAGTTTTATTTGGACACGGTGATGCGGCTGCTATTTTTCGTTCTAATAGGAGAAGGGTAAGCTAGCGGTTATTTTACCAAGGTCACAGTCATTATTCTTTTATTGGATGCAAAGCTTGCAACTAGCGGAACCGAATATTCAACAAAAAACAAAAGTCTAGATCCTTAGCCGCTCTGCGAAACAATCATCCATCTCTGCCCCCCCCCCCCTCCTTTCAAGATTATGATCGCATTCTTCAACATTAGCACCGTTGAACACTTCCCATTCACATTCATACTAAGCAAGCTTAACGATTGATTAGCAGGACTATTGGTTCTTAAAAAGTTGCCTTTAGTAGCTCCTAGTTGAAGTCTGAATTCTATTAACTTTGTAGATCTAGGGATGAAAAGGGGGAAGAGGGGAGGGGGGAGGAAATTAGACAATGAAAATAAAAAGTTTCACAGCTGAGATATAAAAACCTATCAGTGAATTTTAAAAATACTGCTAAGTTCCTTATAAGTGATTTATTGCTTGCATTAATTGGTAACTGATATGTTAAGAACTATTTCATTAGATAAATAGTCAAAGTAGCCTACAAAATTTCAAAGGATTGGATGTATAAAAAAATTCTGGAAGTTTCTAAGAAACTCAAAGAGTCCTCAAATAAGGCTTTACCGAAAATGGCTAATTGCGTTATTTGAAAAACCCTACCACCCCGATTTAATGAATTTTATGCTGCGTCAGTGTTAGTAAACTCTCAAAAACCCGAGATGATGTTCTCGTTAAAGACATTTACAAAAAGCGGAAATTCTGTTCCGGTAGGATCCTCGCAATTTCGTCCTCACGCTCCTTGCAGTTTTGCTAATTTGTTTGCAGAAATGTAAAATTTTGAAAAGATTTAGGGCATACCGGCGCCTTAAATGCAAAAAATGGAAAGCTAACTGACTGGAAGTTTCAAGAATGATTTTCAGCATGGTTATATACGTACAGCCTATGGAAGATGTATTTTCGTGCTTTCTATACTACCCTAGTCGATTTTTGGAACGATCCGGGGCATACTCAGAAGGTCGGCTGGAAAATGTGTCAATATGTCTGCAGCGGTGCTTAGAGGTAAGGCAGGAATGTTCAAAGTGATCTCCACATCATTAAAAACTCAAATAGCTCGTATTTTTCAAAATTTCTACAATTTGCTCTGCTAAATTTCCATTGCTATTTCCTAAGAGCTTTCCGTTTCTTCCGCGAATTATCGCGAAAAAAAGCGCGTGCCGTCCGGTCAGTTCTTAGCGGTTATGTCACGGCTATGAGTTCTCTAGCAAGTTTTTCTGTTACGGCATCGTCGAATCTTCTAGGCGAAGGTCAGCCGAGCGAAGGAAAAAATCATTGGACAAGCGCGTCGAATGCTGTCACTTTGCGCACAGACAAGCCGATAATGATTCCGACGTGAATGATGGCCTGACGCAAACGCAAGCCTTCGCGCAGCATCCGCGGTGCAAAGGCGTTCTGTTAGCCGCGTATGACGTAATTTACTGATTATACTCTTGTGCAAGGAATGGAAAGCATTGCCGTAGCATGAGCAGAAATCAAAGTGATGGTCCCAACTAAACAAACGGAATCACAAAAATCACTGCCCACCGTTAGTTACTGCAGCGATAAAACCGAAAATTTCGAAAAATTAAATTTGCAAAAACAACAAATTTACCGTTCAATCGCATACTGAGATCATATTTACACCAATTTTTGTTAAAAAAATTTACTTTTTTCGTTCCAAGACTTTCGTTTTACAAAAAGTGCATAAGTTGAAGGAAAGTGTCAAAGCTTCCTGAAAAAAATTCTCCTCATTTTTGAATTACGCGGAGGATGTAGCTTTTTGATATTAAATCATACATATCGCACGTGAAAAATGCAATTTTTTGAGATGCTGAATTTGTTTGACTTCCAATTATGTACCTACATTAGCAACAATGTTCGAAAATTCATGAAAGATTTAGAGGAAAAAGATGAATGAATGATTTTGTCAAATAAAAAGACAATGGAGATTGAAGTGTCGTCACAGTGATCGTTACAGAACTGCCATGACATTTATCGTAAGTCGGTCTATAAAGGTAAAAATGATGTATAATTTTTTGCCCCTTTCTAGTACAATGTATGTATTAGGTGGGTGCAAAAGTTCTGTCGTTTCATTTTCAAAAATCTGTATCGCCAGATTTCAACGGATTTGCTTGCTTGTAATTTTATTAGAAAGAATAGGTCTTCCGCTTTCAAGCGCTGTTTTGCGGAGCTTCTATTTCGCACTGAGTGCAGAGATAAAAATGGAAAACTAAGACCATGTAAACTTTGACCATTTTAAGTTAGGTCACCAAAAATCTGGAATGCTGTAGAAAAATCTGAAATCGTCAGTACATATGTTTTTTGGCCTACTCTTTGCAAATGTGAAGAGTTTGTGCTGTTTGGACGTTTCTGTGAGAAGTTATGATTTTGCGAAAATTCACAAATTAGTTGATTTTGGCGTTTTCCATGGTAAACTCGATATTCATAACTTCTCACAGAGACGTCCAAACAGCACAATTTTTTCACAGATGCAAAGGGTAGGTTAAAAAACGTATGTACTGACGATTTCAGATTTTTCTGCAGCATTACAGATTTTTGGTGACCTAACTTAAAATCGTCAAAGTTTACATGGTCTTGAATTTCCATTTTTATCTCGGCACTCAGTGTAAAACAGAAGCTCCGCAAAACAGCGCTTGAAAGCGGAAGATCTATTCTTTCTAATAAAATTATAAGCAAGCAAATCCGTTGAAATCTGGCGAAGTTACAAATTTTTGAAAATGAAACGACAGAACTTTTGCACCCACCTAATATATTCTAAATATGTTTTGCCGAATCTTGGAATTTTTCGAACAGGCTACGCAGCAACAGCAAATTGAAGTTTTGACCTATTAGTTTATAAAAAGAAAATTATGCATCTATTGGCGTTCGAAGCGAATACGCTAATCTACATATTAAGGCATACAAGCTTTTATTAGGACAAACTATATCGCTTTTGAATTAAGCCATTAAAAAAACCTAGATTATAATTGTAAGTTCTGATCAAATTAACCAGACTTTCCTTTTCGATTCAGAAACTGCATATCATTGTGAAGCTTTCCTTTTGTACTTTCTGATAGTGAAACTATGCTTTTATCCTATTTATGAGAATTTCACCACATTTTGCATAGCCGCACTCAAAATCGAAATTTTATCGCTTTCACTTTTTTGGCGACAATTCAAACGACAAACGATTTTTTTCGAAAAAATAGCTGCTATGTGGGATGAATATTGTCTACCTATTGCAAGTTTAACAAGATTTTTCAAGATTATCTGAACCGAGAAATCGACGCCCCAGTATAGATATTCGGTGCCGGCATTCTAAGGGTCAAAAATATCTCATAATTCTGGCAATCGCCAAGATTCGCTCACATCCAAAAAATTGAGATTAGAACATCTTGTACAAAATTTTTGCAGATAAGCTTAGTTATTTATGGCAGAGGAAATACAAATTTTCATAATTTGCAGCTTTCAGGCTACCACAGATAGGCTCAAAAAAAGTGGGCAATTTTCGTTTTTTAACTTTTCTTTTCGCAAAACTCCTTTGTTGAGATCTTTCTCATGAATAGGTATATTGCTGGCTTGTGGGTACAAATAAGCTGATTATCAGCCATTAGAACAAAACTTGAAGGGAGTTATAAGCTCTCGAAACGAAATTTTTTGAAAGAAAAAGTTTTTAAAAAAACCATGGAAACAGTTTTTTTCATTCTTCCCGTCGGCAACATCGAAGATACGCTTTGGATTGAAAAAAGTTCATTGCTTCTAATGGTCTTGAACCTTTCAAGAATATGAACACTGGAAAAAGTTACAGCTTTTCATAGTAAAACTTGAAAACGGACATTGTTTTTCACCAACTTCAAGTTGTAAATGACAGATTCTCTAGAAGTAAACATGATCTTGAGATTTGATCTAAATTTTTAGTTGGTTTTGATTTAAAAAAAAAGAGAAATCACACATAACACGAGCATAAAAAAACAGAAAGCGTTTTTCCAACCAGTTTTATAAACAGAAATTCATTTTTTATGCTAAAAATTAGGCTAAAAGAAGCGCGAAGATTGATTTGTGCTCTTGAAGGAACCAGATGTTTTTTTCTGAAGATTATCTTCTGAAAAAATTGGTGCTGCTCAAGACTGAGGAATCTCTAATCTTATAGGAAGTTTTGTAAAAATTTGTCATTTTTAGAAAGGTCAAGTGATGAGTTTGATATTATCTGTGATAGAAACTCAAAAACAATCAGTTTGAGAAAAATTGCCGTTCAAAATAAAAGCTACACTTTGATTCAACTGACTTGGCGGCTGGAAGGCGGGGCTTCGTGACCTAGTTAAGGCTGGATAGCGAGCGTGAGCGGCCTTAATTAGGTCACAAAGTCCCGCCCTCTAGCCGCCAAGCCTATTGAATCAAAGATCATTTGATAGACAAGACAATGCCGAAAGTTTTCATCAGCATGTGAGCTGTATGTTGGAAAAAATTATGTATTTACGACCGAAAATTTTTTTCCTTTATCTCAGAGCATCACTTATATTTACTGCAATAAGTTGGGTGTTTCAGTCAAAGCAGATGCACAATTTCGAGTGTCGATCCGCGATGTGGAAACGAGACACACACCTTTGTGTTTTGTCGGCCTACGATCGTACCCAGAGAGCTGACAAATTCCGGGTAGCATCGCAAAATGACATAGACATGTATGAGAATACTTGTACTGCGGAAAAGGTAAGGCAGTCTGCCACAAAACCAGCAAGTTTTAATTTTCTGTGGATTTAGAACGCGGAAACAATGTCATTTCGTTCCGATTGGGACCTGATTCGTACGACAATTCCCGTGGCAGAAAAGTGGGTTACAACTCCAAGACCAAGAATAAGGTCAGGGAATTTTTTATAGGGAATGTGTGATGTCAAATATAGAATAAATGTTCAGAAAAAAGCCAAAACCAATTATGGAAGATGCACCGTTGCGAAGGGTACGGGAACCCATGCCTTTGGCCAAGTAAGTCAAGTTACATTCGATTATATGATTTTTTTTATTTACAAACCATCTGTTTTTTTACTTCAAGAAAAACTAACTAATACGCAGAAATAAAAATTTGATTTAATATCTGGTGTGGCTAGAATCATACATTTGGCAAGGGATAAGTATGCAGACATCTGTAACTTATTTTGTGAACCTGCACGCTGCGCGCGGCAATCGACGACACCCCAAACTCCTCAACCTCCAAAGTTTTTTTTTACGATATAAAATGTGAAAATGTGTATTACGTGATACTTATCTAATAAAACCAAAAGAGGCAAGCAAACAAGAATAAAATCAATGGAAATTAACATCTACCAATCTTACAAGTCGTGCAATAGTGCGCATGATGTGTAATGCGCACATTAAGCTGCAAATGTCGTGACAGTAATTAAAATTAGCTCGTTCGAATTTTGTAGGTATACAGTATACAAGCTAAACTCGGTGGCATGCTTACTATAGAGAAGAGAAATCTCGTTTTTTCTGTTTGTTTTTTTTTTTGAAAATTTGGGCCAACCTACTCAGCACATTCATTCTCATTTGATCTAGATGGACCGGGAGAAGAGAATAGAAAATGAATGAGAAATTATCTCGGCGAAGTATGAGGAAATAAGTCGATCATCATAATCGATGCTGCACGATCTCTGGGAATTTTTTCTACATCCTTTGCCAAATTATACTCCTTCCAGGACCTTTTACCGAAAACGGCAAGGCAGTGGCCAGACCGGCTCGGGTGCTCAAGAATACGATGTTGCTTTACCTATCCGAAAGCTGAAGAAATTCCGAAGCGATCTGGCCAAGACCTTTTCCGTGCCCACATCACATTCGGAACTGGTAGTCGACGCACAAGTGGACGGCAAGCCTCGCACGCTGTCGAATCTGCCAGCAGAACCGTGGCGGTTGCCGCCGATTCGGAATAGCCTTATAACAAGAAATTTCTTTGCAAACACAAGTGAGTTTCGACAATGCAAAATTTGAAATTTCCTTTCGAGTTTTAAAAATCGAGCAAAAATCAAAAATCTTATTTATATTGTCGCATTATGATTTGCAAACGTTTAGTTAGAAAACCAAACGCTTCTCCTCCACCTGGAAACCAGTTTCCCCGGCCTCCTGACCTGCCCAAGGTGAACTGACAGAATTTTTTTTAGCAGATTTGGCTATGAAAATTTGTCTTTTATGATGGTTTCATGGAGCTGACAGCCACCGCATGTAGCGTATCTATTTCCTTCCGCAACTATCGCGTAAAATCAAGATTTCCGTTCTATCTCGATTTATTGATTGTTTCTTGGCATCCAACCACCGCTACGCGACCGCGACGCATGCGGCGCTTTGGGAATTCTGATGCGTTATGGCTCACATTTTGTTAGGAACACGCTATTCTTCATTCCTTTTGTATTCTCTTCGATTTTCAGGCTCACATAGCAACAAGAGAGCTGAACCGAAGTCCTACGCAATCCGATATCCCCAAAAAGCAAGCAGTGCCTAGACTAACTGGTACAGTTGATCGCCGTCACAAATTGTATGAGCATGGAATCATTCTTTTAGCGGCTGCTACTGAAAAGCCGTGCTTTACCCGCTACAAGAGAAAAATATTGCCCGGATTCGATGAGAAAACGGTTACAGGAATAGACCAAAATCCTTGCCTCATGCTGTGCCTTCATAGTGATACGTTTTATTGCGCAAGTGTTAACTACGATGAACTAAGAAAGGTTAGTCTAGACTTTGCCAGGGACTAAGGATTTTCAGTGATATTATTTATTTAGAGTTGTACACTAAATGGTGGAAATCTACACCTGAATAATGCTGTACTGCAACCATCAACTTCGGATTATTATGAGAACGAATGCACTCCGAAGACTAGCAAAAGCAAAAGTACATTTTGTGTTTGACCTATTTAGAGAAAGTCTTGGGAGTAGTGAGTGGGAATTTCATTATCTACTGTCGAATGACGAAGAAACTTAGAAATGATTCGTTCTTTGAAATTGACAAAGGACATTATTGACTCATCCTCCACTTTTCTGCTCCAAAATAGCATTGTATACAAAAGTGCTCAGTTTTAATTAGGAAGGAACTTTTGAATAAGAGATACAGTAACAGAATGCGCAAAGTTGCGCCTCTACTTTTTTAATGATTTTTCTGTATGAAAAATCAACTATTATAGAACGCTCGCAAAAAAAAACTTCTTCTTAAAATGCTCGCGTTCTTTCCCTCGTCGCTATCTCTTTTTGGCACTAATATTGACTAGATTTCTATCAGAATAGCTCATATAGAATATCGGATGATATAAATGACAAAGAGATTATTTTGGTGTCTCAGAAATGCTGAACAGAGTCTTAGAAAATTCACCGGAACTTCCGCAGGACAAGCAGAATTCGCAGCGATTCCGCAGCACTTTCTTAGCCATTGAAAAAGTGCACGCTCCAAAATGCGGGGTCTCCGCGGGGAATTTTCGTCAGAGCAGCTGCAAATCTGAACTTCTGCGGGACTTTGGATAAAGCGCTGCGGAAATGCTGCGAAAGCGCTGCGGAAGTTCCGGCCAGTCTGAGTTGTTAGGTGGACAAAGAAACTTGTAGTCAAAAAAGATCAGTGGCATACTAATCGATTTTCTGGGAAAGGGACTAGTTTTTTATGAGAAAAAACTCAAATTTGTCAATTTCAGGAAACAAAATAATCACATCAACTCCACTACCTTCAACCGAATGTTTTGAAACTCTCAATGAGTCCATGTTGCTCAGTCTCGACTCAAAACTGATGGAGAATATCAATACGTTAGGTAGAGATCATTTCCTTCATTTCTAGCAATTTCGGAAACCTTTGTTCCAGAAGAATGCAAGTCTGAATGTATGAAGTTTGGCCTGATACGGCAACAACCTTGCGGAGCCCTAAACTGGCTACCCAGCAGTAAAGGTTGTATGCTTTTCAAAGCTGGATTCGACTTGAAGCTTATTGTTTCCCATCCCACGGCACAATTTTTAGTGAACAAATGTGGTAAGTAAGATCCAGTAAAATGTACATATGGACTACTCTTAACACTAATCTCTAGATCTCCAAAGAATACCAGCCATTATGATGCGAACGTGAGGTAAACAATTGAGTAATCGGTTGTGCGGATGCTTGTATCCAAGACTAAGAAAACACTAACACCTGGGCTGCTAACATTATCTAACGGAAATCAATTTTAAATCTGTATAATTTTTGTAGAAGGGAACATAGGAAGGGCTTAGATAGATATGTAACAATTTTGATTATTTTATAACATTGATCTACTCTCAGAACCTGCCTTTGTATGTAAGTTAGGTCGAGTTACTATCAGAAAACGAAAAAAATACATTGTCAGAAAAGCTTCTAAAGGAAGAAGAGTCAAAGAAGTGCAAACTGGGCAATCTATCTAGCATTAAGGCAGTAGCGTACAGAATCCCCCCCCCCCCCGGAAAAGGAGTCGCGAAATCCTTAAAAGTTACTTAAATGAGTTATAAAAATGTGCAAGTGATTGTTTATACTTGTGATTGGTTTTGAAAAGTTTTAAAATTTTTTCAAAAATTTGTTTTCGCCTAATAGATTCTCGGGGGCGTGGCTGACGCCACGCACCTTCATAAAAAAATTTTTTTATCGCCCCTCCCCAAACGGAAATTTTGGGTTCCACTGTCATAAGGCTAGCTATGTAGACTGCTATACCAATGCTGTTGGGTTTTCAAATTTTCCAAACCTACCGTAACCCTACTGTAACCCAATTGCACATGATGTTCTACAATGTTCTCAAAATGTCTTTCTTGTGCAAGCAAACCGGAGTAACATAGAGAATAAGTTTCCAAAACAAATCACACGAGAAAAGTTGTTTCAGACGGTTTGCACGAAAAGTTGAGAAGGAAAAGATCCATGTTTTAGAATGGAGTTTGATCTAATTTACTGACGCGGGTTTTATATGTTATCTTTATGGATTGTGATCCTCGGTTTGTCTGCTTCTTATCTTTAAAATATTTGCTCAACTTCTTTTCAGAGAAGTCTGATAGTGACTTCGATCAGGCTAACAAAGAAGAAGAAAACGTTTCTGAGGACTACACAGCAGCTACGTGATCGCATTCGACCTAGGACAGGGTTCTATATCTGACAGCTTTATCTACTTCCATTGAGCGTTGCCATGTCTTGTATGTACATTTATTTATTAGTCGTTTTGCAGAGCAGAATAATTTATTTTCAATAAAATATTCGAAAATTATTCGAACCCACCGCTGGTTACAGCCGAAGCGTATGCTAGAAGTTGCAGTGTGAAAAGTACAGTAATAGTGATTAGCATCTGGAAGGTGGCGTAGTAATTAGCATGTGTAATTTATAAGTGGAGATTTGTAGGACAAAATGAATAATCGTGCAAAGAGACCTGACTAAGTGCTATGTACTATAGTGTCAGCGTGTCCTTGAAGATGTGGCATTATAATAAGTTGACCTAACGCAATTATCCGTCGGCAGCACAGTTCGAAATCGTTACACAGCACAACGACGACGTTTCTCACAATATTCAAAACCGAACTGGCTCATTTTTGCTATGGGAAAACAGTAGCTTGGTCGAATTTCATCTAGAAAGATTTCCACATTTGTATGCTAAAATACCAAGACATGCTTCAGTGTAGAGAGTATGCTGTCATATAAGGCCCGGGCATACTTCACCCAATTCCAGTCGTTACGTGATCTAACGGTTTGCCATTTTTCCAAATCCAGTGCTGGCAGACTGCAAAGGCACGCGTTAAACTTTAGCAGTTTGATAGGATGCGCTACCTTAACATTCAGAATGCACTCACGCTGATAAACAATCGGATTACCCCAAAACGCATCGCAACTGAAATCGCGTGAAGTATAAGCGGTCCTTAAGGCTCCGCGCATACCTCACGCGATTTCAGTCATTTTTGGCAATTGCAGTTGCTTTCGTCGCAAACTCAATTTGAGCAAACGAAAAATGACACACTTTATAGACTCATAAAAGCTAAATACACAAGCATCTGTGGTTGTCAGTGCTGGATTTGAAGAGATCTGCAAAAGGCCAAGTCGCGTGGCGACTGTGAAGTAGCTCGGCCCTTAACACATTCACGATCGGGCCGATTTTTCGATTCCCATTTCGGACCAGAGCATATTTCACAATATAGAGTTCTTTTATTAGCACATTCAAGACCGCTTGACACACATGGTGTGTCAAGCAATGACTACCACGTGGGACCGCTTGACACACATGGTTTGTCAAGGTATGAATTTAGTAAAGCGGCGAATATTCTGAGAAATCACCTCAAGAGTTTTCTTTTGCGCTGGATCTGGAAATAATCTCCATCTAATCTGTCTTCACAGAGCTACTGTGGGTATACGCGATGACATTATGTGTGTGTGAGAATTTTCTCACCCCCTCTTCACCTCTGAGCTGGGACCAAGGTGACCCCCTTCACCAAAAGCCGAGAAAAAAATCAACAGTGAGGTAAGGTTAAGCAAAGGAGATATTTGTACGTGAATAGTTTATGTACAGGAATGGAGGAGTCTGTTGAAAAAAGTGCTTGGTGACGGGTGTGAGTAGTGATTTCTGAACATTTTGGAGCTTTTAACATAAAAAAATTCATAATTTTTGTAAATGGACATCTTTTACGGCGAGATGGTCGTATTGTCCTCCGCTTTCAGAAAGCATATAGCATACCTGAGATCCTTTCAAGAAAGTGCTGTGAAGGGTGCCTAGTGACTTTTAAGAATTTTCGAGTTTTTAACGTAAAAAAATAATAAATTCTGTAGATGAACATCTTGTACGCCGTGATGGTTACCATTGAAACCGTCTCGTCCTCCGCTTTCAGAATATATATACCTTGCCTAGAGTCCATGAGAAAGTGCCGGGTGAAGGGTGGGTGAGACTTTTATAATGGGGGTGCTCAAGTAGACGTCTTTTTACAATGGTAAAATAGCCTGTACTTGAGCACTCCCATAATAAAAGTCTCACCCACCCTTCACCCGGCACTTTTTTTACGGACTCCAGGCAAAGTATATATTTTCTGAAAGCGGAGGATGAGACTGTTTCAATGGTGACCATCATCCGGCGTACAAGATGTTCATCTTCAGAAGTTACGGATTTTTCTATCCTAAAAAATCGTAAATATTCAGAAATCACTACCCACACTCTTCACCAGGCACTTTTCCAATAGACTCCAGGCAAACTATATATGCTCTGAAAGCGGAGGACAAGATTGTTTTAAAAACACTTTCCTGCTGATGTTGCTGTTCATCTACAGAAATTAAGATTTTCCTCTTTTAAAAAATTCGTAAATGCTTAGAAATTGTCTAACTCCTTCCGAAACAAATCTTCTCGCATGCACATCTTCTATGGCAATTCCAAAAACAGGCAGGGTGATGTAAAAAAGAAAAAGAAATGTTTAAAAAATACAAGGTGCTGGTCAGAAATATAATTGTATGCTAATCCAGCAGCACATCGGTTCACATTTTAGAAGAAAGATAACCAGTGATGGTAAGGAATAAATTATGAACTTTGATTAGGGAAAATGATGAGAAAACACCATAGCTCTCCCCCCCCCCCCCGTCGACATTTTATAATTTCTCTATCAAGTGAAACACCCTTTACCTTGGAGGGGCTGCGACCACTGTGACCCTCTTCACCCTGGAGGAGTCATTCTCAAATTATCGCACCTGTGGTGGTAGTCAATGACGTGCCCTATTGTCTAAAGTGTTTTAAAGAGGTGTATACAGAAATTTACTCAATTTGCCCAGAAAGTTTCATCACAAAGTACCAAAATCGGAAACTTCAGAAAGCATACGACCCACGGGTGGGCCGTGTTGTTGTGAATGTGTTAGAGAAAATGTCGTGGCAGATTTGCCTTTCAACCTTTCTGCATATTTTAGGCCATCTAATTATGTATAATTAACCCGAATCTGAACTTCAAATAGGGTGAAACGATCGTTTTCAGGGTATTCACACACTTTTCATAAAGGAAGCTGGAATGAGAGTTTACATGACCGCGAGGCCTTGGTACGAAAATCGCCTTCGATAATTCTTGCACTGAATGGCACAGTGCAGGAGCGGCCATGATGGTCCCGCGCAGAAGAGGTAGACGGAACGGAATCGAGCGCGCACCGACTGAGGGCAGTCTTCGAGGGACAGGGTGAACATCACGCATCCGGGTGGGGCCGGAAGGTTAGCGAGGTGACCAGCGATCCATCACACCTACATCCTCCCAAAGAATCTGTTAGGACACTGCCTTTAAGGCAACTGAACCTAGCATTCAGATCCTAATTTTCTTCCAACTAGGGCACAGCTGAGACCGAGTCAAGCTGCATAACGTTCTTGGGGAAAAAGAAAAGAGGATATCGTCTTTGGCAGGGCCGGGGGGTAGAGAGCGCCCAAACAGACGTTGTCCACAATCAAATCGCAATGGTACGCACCAAATTTGGTGTGCGCATGCGCTTAAGAGAACTCGATGTATGGCTCAAAATTTGTGAAAACTTATGAATGAAAGCCTTGTCCACCTTTTTTCAAACTCGCTGGAAAAACCGACCCTTTGCTCACATAATTTTTTTTTCATATTTTCTTACATATGTTGCTCATTGTTCCCATAATCTCCTTTGGGCTTTTCATACCTCAAAAATGGCAGCGCCGGTTGCAAAGCACGCCCTTGAAGGAAGTGTCTCACCAGATTTTAGGTAAACCGGATTTTTGCAGATTTTATCAGGGGAACCCCTTACCTTAGATAAGGCCTCTCCTATCTCGAAAAAATTGGGCTCAAAGTGGCTAGCGGAGTGCTATTCTGCTCGCGATGAACGACCTGCCGGTCTTCCTATCATCACCAAATTTTCAGGACACGCCTTGAGTCTTGACAAGTCTGACCTTGCGGCCAAAGCTAAGGTAGATCGGGACAGCTAGTCCGCTTCTAAAACCCTTCCAAAACAGTGGGACTTTTGGGTTTTTAAGTATCCAGGCAAGATAATTATGATTGGTTCTGTTTATCCTGCTAATCTTGAGTTCAAAGGATCGCAACTTTGCCGACATGTCAATTTTGATTACTTTGTCAGACCGCCTTAAAGGCACCGCCTACTTATTCTCTACTGCCATGTTTTGATCGTTCCGGGCCCTTCTCATGTCCCTGATTACGAATAGGCGGACTTCACTGGAGGGGGCTGGAGGGCTTGAGGTACTCAAGCATATTTGCTAGCGAAAGATTTTCTCGCTTCCAAAGGGACATTTTGCCTGCGGCTGGACATTGGCTTGGTAGGGGTCCAACTATCATAAGCTGCCAAAAGCTCAAGAACCCTAACTTAGGGTGGGCAGTGCCTTTAAATAAGTCCGTGTGTAGTTGGTAAAGAATTTATTTCTATCTCGACGAATATTGGTAGTCGAGTAAAACAGCAAATCAGCAATTAACTAAACACCCTGTACACTGCAGAGAAATATCCTCACAGATAAACTAATAATATTTTCATGGGTAAACGATAATACAGGGTGGGACAAAAGTCTGGGGGCCGAGATTGCAGTGTTGTAAATCGCGAATCCACTGATGATTTTGATTCAAAATTTGTACCACATAATACAGCAATCATCCTCTACAAACCAGACTTTACACAGCTGAAAATACTTGCCATGTGTATTTGTAAGAATTGATTTTATCAAGCAAGTGCTTCTGCAAAGCGAAAAAACCAAAATTTATAGTATTCACAAATTATTTTGTAGCTAAAGATACTGTGAATATCCTAAAGTAATTTGATGCATACAATGTAGGAGGCTTTGCGCTATCAATTTGTAGTAGTTCCGTTTACCAGAAGCCATTCTTTCAAAAACGCAAGATAAAAATTTGCGAATATACCTGCGTGCCAGTGGCCATTTGTCTTCTAAATTAAAATTCTAAAGCTATAGGAGCGCAGCAAGTGCCGAGTTTCAGGCTATATTCTTTCCATGAGACTTCTATATAAGCATTCATTTGAATTTGATCGATGGAGCGATTTCAATACTTTTTAGATTGTAATTTTTCGCTCCCGTTTGCGCAATCGCATCCAAATTTCCAGTATGCGAGTACAATTGCCTTCACTTGAAATTCCAAAATTTTTTTCTTAAATATCGCAAAAAAATTTCTTCGTAAAATATGTTATGCAAAAGCTTGCTCGATCATACTACACATTTGCCTAGTGAAAGAAACAGTTATGATGAAGGCATGGGACGAATTTCATTTCGACTGCCTGCGTGCCACGACAGAGAGACTTGCCAGGATTGTGAAGGGCTGCTTTGAAACCAAAAAAGGCAATTTCAGAATTTGAGACCTGCGCTATATTTGTAAAGGTTCGGTTCATATGTGCATCAAATTTTCTGTTTCTAGGTACTTTTCTTCCGATTCTATCTGGAAAATTACTAGGCTCCCAGACTTTTGCCCCACCCTGTATATTGCCTGGACGACTAGACCTTTCACTCCCGTATTCGAGGCACTCTTTGCCGCTTTCAGGGACAAAAGCTTTTATGATTAGTACATACATATAGTATCAGCTCCGAACGTGGACTTCCAACACTTGTTGTAGTGCAGTTCGGGGTGAGCTGAGCTACAGGGCTCTTAAATTGCAGAGTCGTTTGCACCAGCTGTCGCGCGACCGCGTCGCGCCCGGGCATCAATGGCGCCGCCTCGATCGATGGCGCCGGCGCCGGCAAAATGCCCGAGCGCGACGCGGTCGCGCGACCGCTGGTGCAAAGGACTCTGCAATTTAGGAGCCCTGTACTCTCTCTCTCCCTTTTAGTATATCGGTTTGCGTTGCTGCACACAACTAAGCTATTCAATGAGAAAAGTACCAACAGCATTTAAACTCACAATTTTATTGCTTTCAACCCCTAACATAGTCAATCCAAACTTGCTAAACATCTAAATAATTAAGTGATGTAAATTCGGCGTAAAATTAGAATCGTTTCTGAGCTACTTATAATGTTCAATTTTTCTTCTTCGGCCGTTGTTTTACCTTGGCTTGGCTGCGCAAATGCCGCTCCCGATCTTGTACCCATAAGGTTTTTGCTGGGCTTTTCTGCAATCATCAATATCTAACTGATACTTGCGAAAAGAAAGGCGCACACCGATCCACTTTTGTGAGTTTTCCAACCCTTCCCATGATTTCTTGTCCCTTGTTCCTTGTGTTCCTTGACTGGTTTTTTAGCAGCTTGCTGTTTGATTCTTGTCTCCTCTTCGCTTTTGCTTTCAGATGGCTTTGGCTGTGCTTTTATTTCTTTTTCGTTCTTCTTATCACTTTCTGTTTTGCTCTCGCTCTTACTGCTCTCGCTCTTCGGCAGCGTCTTCTCTACCGTTTTCTCTCCTGTTGTTGACTTTTCTTTGGAGAAGGAGGCGGACGGTGCACTGGGCGTACTTGCAGATGCTGCCCACTTACTAGCTTCCACCAAATAGTCAAAAATATTTCGAGTGGTTTGTAGAGCAGCTTGTACGGTACTCGCTTCTGTCGGCTTGCTCTTTTCGTCCTCCTTTTTGACTGCTTCTTCTTTCACTTTACTCTTTTCCTCCGCTTTTTCCGCTGTTTTATCCTGGACTTCTCGCTGTCGTTTTTTCATAATATTGCCTCCCCACTTGGTCGGGACATACTGAGGATGAAGAAGCATGCAGTCGAGGAGAATGCGCTTTGCCTAAAACACTACATTAACCTAAAAATCGGTTAGGGTCAGGACACCTTATCGGCGTCAATCAAAAACAGCCTCAGTTCGTTGTCAACAAAATCCTCGAAAAGATCTGGTCTTGTGAGCAAAACCTCTACACCATAGCTTAAAGCTTTATCAATAAGATCGACCACCTAAGTTTACGCTCATGTGAGGTTGGAAACTGAAAAATCTTTATTGCCCGCCTTTTTGTCAGGTTTGGGTTCTTCGGATTCAAAGAAGCTGGCAATTATTCTAGCTTCGTTGTCGTTGAGTGTTTGTTCGAGCAGCTGATTTCTTCGTAAGATGTCCAAACCTCGCTTAGCAACAGCTTCGAGTTTCGCAGACTGAATAAAAGATCCACCAAAAGACAGGCAGATATAACTCTACCATTTTTTCTCCTTCTGCTGAAGTCTTCGTCGGTTTCTCCTTTTCCGCAATGGCAGCCGCCTCTTTTTCCTTTTCAACAGTTTTCTTCGTCAACGTCTCGTTCTCGATCTTCGCAGGTACCATATCTTCTTTTTCTGCCGTTTTCTGCACCAGAACCTCCTTTCCCATCGTTGCGGGAAGCGCAGCAACAGTACCTACGCTCTTTTTGCTCAATTCGGAGATCTTCTGCAATCGAAAATCAATCAGCAGACATAACTCTTCGTTTTGTCCTGACCTCATCTTTCATGGCCAACTGTTTCCTTAGTTCTTGGATTTGCTCCTGATAAGTTTTCTCCAATTGCTCTAGCTCGCTTACTCGCAAGAATAACGTGTGAAGTTCTTTCAGCAATTGTTCAACGTTCTCCTAGAGTGTCTTGTGTCTAAGACTTTAAAAAAAGCTTAGACAAACTAATACTTTTGGATTTGCTTTGAGTTCGGCATATCTTTTGGCATACTTCTCCTACAACACTGAGTCATTACTAATTGTTGCAGAAATCACATTCAAAAATTTACGCTCAAGTTCTTGTCTTCATCATGCGTAGTTTCCGTAAAATCCGATTCTGAAGGAACGGACATTGACTCTTCCCAACCAGTTCCAGTAATATCAGGAGGAGACCTAGAATTTATCTACTTTTCTTGAATTTGGAGAGGTTAAAGCTACTCTAGTGTTTCTTCCTCGATATCCTTCTTAGGTGAAACAGCTTTCCATCTGAAACAGGTCCCATGTTATCTAAAAGCTCCCCAAGCATAATCAGGGGACCGAAAACCTAAGTTTTGCTTTTCTCATTTTAGTGGCGGCAGGCCGAAGTGCCACGGCAACATTTTCAAACTCTTCAATTTCCTCTTTGCATTCTCGTTGGACGAACTGAAATACTTGTTAATAAAGTAACGTGTGGTGGAGCAACTTCGAGATGCTCGATTCCGCATACTGTCCAGCTGGGATCCGGCTATACTAGCGCTATGGTGTACCCCATATGCCATAAACCTCGTTGTTACTCAATAATCTATGTTACATGTAATTCGTCGAATTTCTTGCTCTTTCTGTGTAGGTTTTAGCTACGGTAGTTATAGTATGGTCTGTCGAAAAGTAACATGGTTAATCCCCTTGCTTTTGGCTCTACAACGAAGAGGCTCCTTGTCCACATGAGCTGTAATCACCCTTGAGTGTAAGGGCGGAAGTTGTTTCAGAAGTTTCACTCAAACCTGAAAAAAATTTGAAAATCATTGAGCAGGGAATAAAGTCCTGGGTCGTATTCATCAACGAAAGGAGTTCCGGAACCCATCGTGTAGGCTTACCCACGAGACCGGTATTCACGAAGCTAGTGGATTCCGGAACCCAGTAAGTTGAGCCTACCCTATGGGTTCCGGAACCCATGAAAAGCCATTCAACCGGTATTTACGAAAAACCCAGTGGGTTCGCGAACCCAATAGGCGAGCATATCGGCATTCACGAAACAAGTCACCCAGTTCTCATGGGTCCGGAACCCACTGACCGCTGGGTTAGCAAACCCAAGCATGGTGCAAAATCGTCAGTGGGTTACATGTAAAGCCAGTCCCTCCCGCGCGGTCGCTCTATCGCTACAATTTTTCGAATGCCCTATATACAGGGTGTCCCAAAAAAATGTGCCTACTGTTTGATTGTAAATAACTCTCTTGTAAAGAAGTGTTTCGAGAAGCTTTAGGTACCGTTTTGTAAAGCGAGCTTGAACTTAGATTTGCATTATGGGAGCGAATCATCTATCGCTCTTCCTTACTGTAGGATTACGGTACGAACTTCGACAAGGATTTTATGTCATTGGAGGCTATATTCTGCCTCGGAATAAAACCAAACAAGCCAGAAACTCTTACATTACAGTAATGGGGGCCGCTGATCTCGAATTTGAAATTCCCATTTTACTGTGATGCTTCTTTCCTAAGTTATCGCCGCTAAATCGTAATAAATCAATTCCTTGCATTTGTCAGAAATGTAATTACACCGTCAAAAAGGCTGAAAACACTCGTAAAAAGTTGTTAAGTGGAATCAGCATGCGCGAAAACCCTAGTATACGATTTTTCAGATTTTTTGAAAAAAATTTTGTTAAATGGTGTATTTCACAATGGTTCCATATGCTGGAAGTTCATACCGTAATCTTACAGTAATGAAGAGCGATCGATGATTCGTTCCATACTGCAAATCTAAGTTCAACCTCGCTCTACAAAACGGTACCTAAAGCTTCTCGAAACACTTCATTACAAGAGAGTTATTTACAATCAAACAGTAGGCACATTTTTTGGGACACCCTGTATTAATGTCATTATCATACCGGTGTGCCATTGCAAACGTTGTCGCGTGCAATGCAATGACACACTGAGCGCTGTGCATACTGCGCTTTTCATAAGCTGAAAAATCTGGTTGAACAATGCAGGTAACACAAGCAAGAGAGAAAAAACAATTTGTATTGAGGCCTGCATATAAGTTGAGGACACGCCATCTCATATAACGATCTCAAGTCAAAGTGGCGAACTAGAACGAAACACATGTCATCATATGCGTCTTGATGAGCTGATTCCAAAATCTACCTTCTGCAACACGATTTTGCAAGAAGTTATGAGTGGTCAAAAGGTGTGAAGTCATTAAGGTTTTAATGCATAATGTGCTCTAGAATCCAACTTAGGAGTGACCAGACGATACTGACTGCACAATTATAAGCAATGCTCACATTTACCGGAAAGACGAACGAATGTTTTCGAAAAACTTCAGAAAATGTAGCACTAAGCCTGCCAAACTTGGACTTTTTAACGCTCATAACTTTTTCCAAAGAACCGCATAGCGAATAGGAAGGTAGGTTTAGAATCAGCTCATCAAGACACATCTGATAATTACCTAGTTGTCATTTAGTTGGCCACCTTGACTTGGAATCGTTCTCTTAAGTGTGTATCAGATGAGTATAATGACCGCCCATAGGCAAAAGCTCATTTGGCAGCATTATTGTCAGTTGGAGGGCCTTTCAGTAAAGTAACAGCGGTAATCCTTCCTTCTCATCTAAATACACTATTATTACTTACATCTTCATCTTTTATCTGAATCCCTGAAAAGAGCCGCAGTCGGGATCAACTCATGTAGTAGTTGTTCAATGATACAAACCGTATTTCTTCCGTATCAAGCGTCGCTTCCGCGCTGAGGCAGTCTCGTCCACTGTTTCATCCTCATCTACTGTCTATGAAGTATTTTTAGAATTCGCTCCCCTCACTGCTTATTACTTACTGTAGCACTTTCTTCGGCTTCTGTAAGAAAAACTGAGCTTAGTATAGCGAAAAATTAGTGTATTACCGGATGTCTTCTTCGATGGAGACTTTCTAGTTTCTTTACTTGGAGAACGAGATTGCGCTGGCGATTTACTTTGACGTTTGGCACCCAAAGAAGAAAGTCTTCGTGATTGTTGCGACTGTACTGTTGGCGGTGCTGCTGGCGTCGTAACTTTGGACTCTTTCGACTCCTCGTCAGAGCGCTGGCTCTAGAAAATTTTTATATTCAAGACATTGTTATGTGAATCTTACCAATCTTACCGCTTTTTCTCTCTGTTTTTTCGTACGCTGAAATAATCGAAACATTTCGCGAAGGCGCTTATGATGCTTGGTTTCGGTCTGGTCTTGCTCCATGAAGATGAGTTGGTCCTGACCATTGCAAATGAAAGCCATGGGCGATTAGCCACCAGAGAGACCCACACACAAAATGTCATGAGATCGAGTAAGACAAATGAATCCACCCTCACAATCGTCTCTTTATATAGAGACCGCGATGACTTATCACAAGTTCATCATCAATCTGAAATGGAGCTGAACCATGTCAATTACACATGATGAAAAATCTGTTCGTGTGCGTACCCTTGAGTTATGAGTTCCTGCTGAATCGATGATTGAAGAAAATCAAATAAACTTGCGGTGAGGATGCACCGAAGTGTATGTAATACCGTAAAATTTTTTCTCAAAAGATTTTGTGAAAACATTGAATGTTATTACACCATTTCGTTCATTCCCTTAGACCAAGCTTTTTGATGAGTTTTAGGTCTTCTCTGGAACAAGATGTTCTTCTGAAATTCAGCGTTTAGTGGCTCGATTGATCTACTATGTTCCCCTGGTTATAGCGCGCCTCACTAGACAACAAAGAGAGAGACCAATGATAAGCGGCTTACAAGGGAACGATACTTAGTGTCCGTGGCTTTTTGAGATGAAACGTATACTATTAAACTCGTCTTCGGACGCTGATTCCGAGTCTTATTTCCGTTTCTGCTGAACATCTCTCTGAAAGAAGTTATGAAGAATTTTCGCGCCAAATTTGGCCGCGCGAGGCACATACGATAGGACCACCAACATGTTAACGTGTTAACGTGCATTCGTTTTCCGTTCATTTTCATTTTTATAGGCACCTTTTGGAATAAATATGGGAAACACCCATATAAAATGACTCCTGCTTAAATTTTCAAATTTTCAAAGAGTAAAGACACGCATTTACCTTGAGGAAACCTAACTTTCAAAACGAAGCTCAATTGAGGCAATGCAAAACTGAAAAAACAAAAGAATCTGAACCTACATCTGCATCAGCTTGTGAGGCTAACGCACTAGCCATTACAACCACTAGCCTACCACAACTACCGGCTGTATTGGTGTTCCTATCACACCTCTGGAGGCCGAATTTGGCGCGAAAATCCTTCATAACTTCTTTCAGAGAAACGTTCAGCAGAAACGGAAGTCAGATTCGGAATCAGCGTTCGAAGACAAGTGTAATGGTATACATTTTATTTTAAGAGGCCACGAACACTAAGTATCGTTCCTTTGTTAGTCAGAACAAAACTAGCTAGATAACCGCCTCCGCAGACTACCGGTCCTAACGCTAACACGATGTACAACGTTAGAGCGAAAGGACCAGCAGTCCGATAAGACGGCGCCATAGGTGCGATAGGGGGAGCCGGGCTCTCCCCAGGTGAAGGGGGTCTCGGCTGTCCCCGACCTTCCAGGTGAAAGGGGTATGTGAGCTGGGGGGGGGGGGGGGTGGGGAGGGAGAGAGAAAAGGTAAAGAAGCTTGGTATGAAGAGCTCTAATTTGTACCTTATTTAGGCACAAATTGAAAAGAAATTTGGAAAATTTTAAAAGAAATCAAAAAATTTTAAAAAATTGACTTTATGGAGATCTGTGCTCCTGTTCTTCCATTGCATCAACAAAAAACGAAAGCAATAAGGTTTATCCCAAAAGATGTACAAGGTAGGAACAACTTCAATTCCTGCACATCATCATCAGCAATATCACTATCGCTAATGTCAGAGACAACAAGTTCGCTGCCTGAAAAATCTTCCTTCTTCCTCCAAAAGGTCATTGGAGTAGAAGTAGATTTGCGTGAAAAAGCGTTCTAAGTCAAAAATGGATTTGAAACGTTCTTCTTCTCTAAGCGCTTTTGTGATTTTTTTTCGCCCTCTGCTCAGATAATCGCCGGGGGCAGGCGGTCCGCAAACTCGCGCTTTTCTGCAAGCGGTCAGCAAAATTTTGGAGCGCGGAAAAACCTTCAGCGAGCGGTACTTCCCTATTCTGCCAGCGGGCAGCAATACAGAATTTTCTGCAAGCGCTCGTCAAATAATTTCTTTCAGCGAGCGCTAACTAAACTTTCAGCAAGCGCTCGGACTCCTTTCATGCACTTTCGTGCGTACGCCGAGCTAAGGTAAGACTCTACCTGGCAGAGGTGTCCTCGATGGTTTTATTACCCAAGTTTGGGGTACTTTCTCCCAGCGGAAAGTACCTGAGGGCTGTGCGGTCTTCCACAAAGGACCGCGCGGCCCCCATTAATTTTGCATATTCTCGCGGAAAGTCCGCGAGAATGCGGCCAATGCGCCGCAACTAATCCATAAGAAAACCGCGACACTTCTCCGAGCATTTGTCAAAAAATTGAACAATATTCTTCCAAATTTCTGCAGGCGGAGCGCAAGAAATCAGCGAACTATCTTTCCGGTGCCCGCTTGCCCAAAAATCGCATGGCCGCCTGCCCCCGGCGATTATCTGAGTGGTAGCACCAGGAAAAACAGGTAGGTGACCAGTTTCTTCATACCGTCTTCTAGGATATTTCAAAGAGTCATACGGTGATGACATGTCTGTACCACTTATATCAATTCTTTGAACGAAGTTTTTAGATAACAATATGTTTAGTAGAAGGTTGACCAACCTTAAGTAATTGCTTAGATGCACCATCGTTGTGCGACTTCTGCGTTGTGTTCTGATAACAGAGTAGATAGAAAATCCTCTCTCCAACTCTGCCGTGCTAGTCGGAATGGAAACTAGCTTTGCTAGTAAGTCCATCAGATTTTTGGTATAAGTAGTGGGGAAAGAGCCAGATCGCATATGCTTTCGCAACACGGGAAGGAAATATTGCATACTTTTTTGGGCCTTGTCGAACTCTGGCTTTACCTCCTCTGGCGTAAGTCCTGTTAGCTGAGAAAGCTGCTCAACTTCTTCTTTAACAGCATCTGCGGAATAGCCGAAAAACGTAGATACTATGCTGCGCGTGGTTTTTTTTCGATATCATATGTCATAATGTCACAAAGCGAATAACTTTAAAAGCATAAAGCACAGAGTTGGGTTCGCACTCAAGTCGGGATCTACTCAGATAATCGCCGGGGGCAGGCGGTCCGCAAACTCGCGCTTTTCTGCAGGCGGTCAGCAGGATTTCGGGGCGTGGCCAAATCTTCAGCGGGCGGTATTTGCGTTTTCTGCAAGCGGGCATCAATACAAAATTTTCCGCAAGCGCTCGTCAAACAACCTCTTTCAGCGAGCGCTGGCCAAACTTTCAGCAGGCGCTCAGACTCTTTTTACGCAGTTTCGGGCGTACGCCGAGAAAAAATGAGACTCTATGTGGCAGAGGTGCCATCGGTGGTTTTATTACCCAAGTTTGGGGTACTTTCTCCCAGCGGAAAGTACCTGAGGGCTGTGCGGTCCTTCAAAAAGGACCGTGCGGCTCTCAATAATTTTGCATGTTCTCGCGGAAAATCCGCGAGAATGCGGCCACTGCGCCGCAACTAATCTGTAAGGAAACCGCAATTGTTCTTCAAGCATTCGTCCAAAATTTCGCTAAAATTCTTCCAAATTTCTGCAAGCGGACCACAAAAAATCAACGAACTATTTTTCCGGTGCCCGCTTGCTCAAAATTCGCATGGCCGCTTGCCCCCGGCGATTATCTGAGTACTCAGATAATCGCCGGGGGCAGGCGGTCCGCAAACTCGCGCTTTTCTGCAGGCGGTCAGCAGGATTTCGGGGCGTGGCCAAATCTTCAGCGGGCGGTATTTGCGTTTTCTGCAAGCGGGCATCAATACAAAATTTTCCGCAAGCGCTCGTCAAACAACCTCTTTCAGCGAGCGCTGGCCAAACTTTCAGCAGGCGCTCAGACTCTTTTTACGCAGTTTCGGGCGTACGCCGAGAAAAAATGAGACTCTATGTGGCAGAGGTGCCATCGGTGGTTTTATTACCCAAGTTTGGGGTACTTTCTCCCAGCGGAAAGTACCTGAGGGCTGTGCGGTCCTTCAAAAAGGACCGTGCGGCTCTCAATAATTTTGCATGTTCTCGCGGAAAATCCGCGAGAATGCGGCCACTGCGCCGCAACTAATCTGTAAGGAAACCGCAATTGTTCTTCAAGCATTCGTCCAAAATTTCGCTAAAATTCTTCCAAATTTCTGCAAGCGGACCACAAAAAATCAACGAACTATTTTTCCGGTGCCCGCTTGCTCAAAATTCGCATGGCCGCTTGCCCCCGGCGATTATCTGAGTAAGAGCAGTAGCTATGCTTTGTACTAACACCTTCCTTTTGTTCATATCCATATTTGTGAATTTGGCAGCCTTGAAATCTTCAGCAACCTGAAGATCAGCAATGGACTTCCTGGACATTTCCTCATTGAAACTAGGCAATCTGCTTGGATTCCTTATGTAGGAAATCAGAGAGTTTCGCTCAATTGTCAATCTGTATCAATGTTGACAACATTTTCGTCGGCGTAAAATTCTCCTTCTGCCTCGCTGTTGAACTGGAACACATGCGAGTGATCTGCGATTTTGTAAAGTATTCTGCCTGCCGTTTCCTCTTCAAACTGCCAACCTTTCCAAAACATTGAGGGATATTTTAATAACATGTTATTCTTCTGAATATTTTGAAGCTTTTGATTCATTGAAACCAACCATTCTCTACAAGTTAGGTAAGGTGAGTCTAAAGCGTTTTCACGAAAGTGACCTTCTTCAGCTAGGTTTACAGAGTATAGATTCCAGGTGGGCGGGTTTTTGTGTGAAAGTGTGGAAATTCACCAATCTCCCATAGTTTTTTGAGTGTGTGTGCTAATAATGATGGCATAAGTGTCAATCAAAAGCGCATTTTTTACCAAAAAACATAAACTATAACAAGAAAAGCACGCTTAAATAGATGCGTTTGCTCACGTTCCCGTTAGTGCTGATAACGATGTCAATCCACATCACATTTTTTACTATTAACTTGCTCCACCTCGCTCTTATTAGGTCGTCCCGAAAGTTTCTACGCACGATTTAAAAATTCATAACTTCTGATTTTTCCAACCGATTTGACTGCTTTCACTTTTATGTAAAAGGGTAAGTCATGATCTTTATTAAGACATCTCAGCTGCTTAGTAATGGTCTTAGTAATGTTGCATAGATAGGAGCGA